ACGTAACATATGAGCCGCAGTAGTAGTAAACCACGATTCCGATGGTGATATATGTGATTGTCACGATCGATTGGCAGGTCAACAGCGAGCGGGTGTAGTGCTTTGGCTCACGCATCTCAGCAGCAATCTGAAAGAACGCAGGTGTGCCTGAGAACGCAAAGATATGCGACGACACAGCCGTGATACCATCGACGAAGCTAGGATGGTTGAAAAGCTTCCAGTCAGACTCCCAGTGTCCTCCCTGCGGAGCAGCTGCAGGTCTGTCCTGCACACCTACAGCGACGGTGACACAAAAGACTAAGTTCTCGTGTTACTCAACATGATCTCGTGAGATGAAGGGGGCTTGAACTTACTGGCAGTCATGATGCAGACGAGTCCGATCCACGCTAACCAGCCAATCTTGCCGAGCGTGCGGATACTAGCAAAGAAGAAGCCCAGAATAGCTGCCACGGCAACGAACACGGCTGTGCAGGCTGCGTGTGTAGAGACCGAGTTAAGACCGATTGAGATACCGAGCATCGCTGAGCCAGCAACGAAGATCCAGTCTGCGAGTCATCAGCACCCCAGCCTCTCCTAAAAACTGAGAAATGACGCTTACATAGCATGAAAACAGTCGCGAGGACCTCACGACCAATCCGCCCAAACATCAACTGCCCTGCATCGTCGATACCGTAAACCTGCGGATGGCGTCGCTTGAACACGCCGATCATGTAGTCTGACCATGTCGTGATGGCTGACACGACGATGAGACATATGATGCCGGGTATGAGGCCTAGAGCGTCGAAGGTCTGGGGGATTGATAAGACTCCAAGGCCGATTTGCGTTTTTGTCATGAGCGCGACGGTGGCGATCCATCCGACCTGGATACTAATTAGTAATTGTGAAGAGAACGGACCGGGGTTCGTACATTGCGGTAGTTAGGTCCATCTTCTGAGACTTCGCCAAAGACGGCGTCGATTGTCGTTCCCTCCTGGGTACATCTCGATGGAGAGCGCTGAAGATCATCGACGCCCTCGATATCACGAGGGAGTTCTTCCTTCTTCGCCATGATGAGTATCTTTTAACAAAACGTAAAACGGTAAGTGAACGTATGGAGAAGGGACAAGAGTCTGGAACGGGATGCAGAATCTGGGGAAGATGGAGCCGGGAGCGTCATGCCCTTATAAATCTGACCCTTTCTATGACTACAAGAAACTGAATTACCCCGGATTATAACTTGATCGTGTATCGCGCCCTGCTCCACTATGACTCCATGTCACTATCATCCGGCGTTTCCTTGTCTAGGGGGGTCGTGGTGGGTTCAACGGGGCCTGGGGTCGAGATAGGTCGTCTTCGGTGAGACTTTTTGACCAATGGAGTTTTGCGTGATATAATCTCTCTGTTTGGGATAGATTACTGTATCTCATGTTTTACTGTAAAGATAATAATTCGCGAAAATACTGGAGATCTGGTATCAATACTCTCTGAAGGATCTTCTATCAACGCCATGTAAGCGATAAAATAACGCCGACAACGATAAAGCCCAAACTCTATTCGCAAACTCTCTGACAAGATCATTTATCCACTTTGAGATATGTGCAACTCTAGCCGAAGTCCTCTGGCCAGAGTGTCATTAATCCGTAATCATCCTCCGTTCATTACTCGCAAACCGTCCAATACGCAAAGATCACCACGGCGTCTCGGAGAAAATAAAAAACGCTCAAAACAATTTCATATCCACTTTACACCCCTTGGTTCATGTCGATCAGCCTGGGTTCGGTATCACGGCGTTGAGAGCCGATCACGCTAGCGCCGGGGTCCGACGCCGTGGCGGTGATCTGATAAAACTTATATCGCTGCCACCGAAGAAGAAAATGAGGCATATTTGCCATGTTTTCTTGTGAGGCATTTGCCATTTTTGTGCCTGACAATCCCGAGTTTATTCCTCCGAAGGTTCAACTCAAAGAATGCTTCTGGAAGCCTCGGCTGCATGCTTCGAGAATTTCTGTGGATCTTGGCGGGGAATTTGGGGCTTGGATATGTCGAGTTTGCAAATTGGTAACTCTATTTGGAAGGCTTCTCGGGGGCTGATGCCGGGGTCCATAACGGACTTTAGTTATGAGAACCGAGTTATAAATTACATAAGGATATCATGCAGTCAACAGTCTGAACAAGGTCCGGGAATGTCGTACTGCTAGGTTCTCCTTGCCTTCAATATGCTGTATCCCTTCAGAGCCTCTGTGTTGGTGAAATGTCATACGTTGGGTACTTACTGCTTCTGTAAAGAGGGTCATGCAGGTAACGATATGATGGACACTATGATAACAATGTAACGCTGCGCGGAATCATCCCGACGTGAAACATCGCTAGCCACCTTGATCGTAACACGAGACATTTCAGCTGCCATGGTAGTCATGGCCTTGCTCTGGGGTAACAGGCTTATCTCTCAATTACCCGATGATCATGCCGTCATCAGCTGCATAAGCTTTCGGCATTCCCGACACCCGCTGATCTACTATCTTATTCCCGTTTATGGAGGGTAGCGCTTCTCGCATAAACATGCTGTCAGCATGAGCCCAAAAAATCTACGGCCAGCAAAAAGACGGCAAGAATACCCTCAGTGGGTATAAATATCTGACGGCGAATAGGGAAGTATATCATTAACCCCGGGCCCGCCGACTCTTGATAAGAGCACGTTCCTCAGAGTTGCCCAAGTTCTTTCGGCTCGAGATACGCTGTGAAAGTGAGGCGAACATCGAAGTGGGTAAGACCTTTGCCGTCAAGAACGCAGAGACCAACTTGAGTTATTGATCCAGAACGTAACGGAAACGGACGAATGCTTCAAGATATGGTTATATGGAGATGCCAGGACCTTCGCCTTTGCCAATCGGATAAGTATCCGTCTCGTTCCTCCACTCCAAGTTCGGAAAGTTGGTACCCTGGATGTCGTTCCGAAAAGTGACTATCTCACTTGGGTTCGAGCTGGCATGGCCATAGCAATGCTAATATCAGATAACGTGTGGACTCCGGTGAAGCTCGGGTTCACTTCCCGAATAGTAGCAATGGAGCTTCGTGGTACAAGGCCAGAAGTTAAGGAACAGTAACCAAAGCGCTGGCTTTATTATTTCTGCTGGCTAATTAAATACCGAAGCATGTCTCGTTATGATCACCATCTATGCAACAAGCTGCAGCTGCCACGCTGTCTTCCAAGATCATAGGTGCATGGACACACGCCTTTTGACTTCTCTGCTTTCCTTCACTATCATGTTAGATCGCTCCGAGTAAGTATAGCCCACTACGCCTGAGCAGCAGTAATAGAAATGGGGTTAAAGCCACTAGGACTTCCGGTGCTGATATACCAGAAATCGGTCGTTCCCATACCAGTGACACGTTGCTGAGTAAAAAACTGATCATACACATCATCCTGTGGAGTAAGACAGGATAACCCAATATCCTCATCCTCCTGACATATAGTCTGAGGCGCGGTGCACGAAAGCGTCCCACCAACAACCTCGCAGGTCAAGTAATCGTACGCCTTGTTAGTACCCGTGTTGGTGGGATTACAATATGCGATTGTAGGTGGAGTCGACGTATTAGGCGAAGATCCGAAGTAGGCGCACACGTAGGTTCCTCCGTTGGCATCTTGGAGACGTCCGGTAGATGGCTCGATGTTGAAGGTTCGGATTCCGCCGGTTTGGGGGTTGGATGGGTTGAAGACGAGAACAGATGTCATTTCGATATTTCCTTGGGGCTGTGCATTGTTGAGGTTTCCGCCGCTTGCGAGGAGGGAGTATGTTGGGTTGGCGGCTGGTGCGGTACTGGTGCTGGCGGCGGTAGTGGTTGTCTCAGCCTCGGATGTCACTGTTGTCGCATCTGAAGAAGTAGCGGCGGCAGTTGAAGACTCTAGGGTCGTTGTAACAGATACGTCCGTAGTGCTAGAAGCTTCTGTTGTCTCGGAAGCTGCGGCAGTGGTTGTGTCCTCCACGATGGTGGTGATAGACGATTCAACAGTGCTGGTCAAGTCTGATGTTGTCGCTACAGTAGCTAGGCCTCACGGTCAGCAGCCACCATCTGCTCAGGGGATTTGAACTCACTTGTACCCTGAGGCTTGCATGGACTAGCAAAAGCGGCGTCAGCGATGAGGCTGACAGCCAAAAGAAAGATATTGGGATGCATCGTGGCGCACAAACGATTGACGAAGGTGGGATGTGAAGCGTGCGACGGGAAGGAAAAACAACAGACGAAAGAGAATGGAAGAAATCAGCCATTGAGGGCAATATGAACAAACGATTTTGCTCAGCTCATCTCCCAAGATCGATAGTCTTGCTCTAGTTCGTGGGCTAGACCTGACAGAGAGTATCTTGACAAATCAGATAGTGGATTAACTGTTAAGGTTGAGACACTACTGCAGGGGTGGCAGTGTGTCTAAGCCAGATCTGGTGGTTGCTAAAATTAGTCATTGCTGTGTAGGGTAATTATTTATGGTCGCGGGTTTGAACATTGAAGGCAACTGAATTTCGGGACTATATCATGCGTCCACTTGAAACTTGTTATACACAAACGAGCTATATGGCGTCCGAGATGTACAGTGGTCAGAAAGGAGAAGTATGATATATTTGCTGGAGGTTCAAGGGCCGCGGTCGTTAATTCAAACACTCCGGGTAAACTATTGATGCTAACCCGTTGAATTCTCATTGTCCTAAAAGACCTCGACAGAGGACATAAACCATATAATTACTACTTACGACTGCAAAACATCACGCGAACAGGAAGTCGAAGACAGAGAGAAAAAAATTATGACACTAGGACACCCGCAACTGACAAGCGTCCAAAGGGCTGAATCGTTCCACCGTAGCCGGCTCACTGGTGGTCAATAATGCGAACAAGCTTATAAAGAGGCCTAAATAAAACTTCAGCTCATTTAGAAAAGCGAATAAGTAATTATTTCTCTGAGGAGAACCTTTAGATTAGTCTGTTCAGGGTGAAAATTAGTAGAAATGGTCTTCAACATCTAGAGGCCCATGCAAGCCCCCATCAGTCGCTACAACCACGACGAGACTACAGCCACTGATCCAGCATCGATCACTGGCACGACTACCTCTGGGACCATAGCCACCACCTCCGAGATAATTCTTGCTCCTAGCTCAACTGGCTACACTTGCACCAACAATGAAAAGATCCCATTTCCAGCTGATGTCCTTTGCGACACTAGGGGTACTGGCGCTGACCCCAACATGATCTTTCTCACCCAAGTGACTGGCGAAGCCACGATCAAGCACTGTCGTGATGTCTTTAGGGGCCTGGATGACTGTACTGCTTTTGCTATACAGCCAAATATCTTTTGTGATCTCTGGCGAGGCAGAATTCAGGGGACTGATAGCTCCAAAACTGACTGGACTTGGTACTCCTTGGACTGTTTCCGCGATCTGCCTGAGCTGCCTACGAGTTCGGCAGTAGCCGCTACTACCACGGAAACGACAGATACTACATACCTGGCTACTGACATAGCAACTACATATACTACAGAGAACAGCTCTCACTGCCGATACTGCCACTAATGAAGTTGAGACATCTTCTACAGTACTCACAACATCTTCAGCTGATCTTGCTATAAGCACTGAAACGACCACCCTCGCTTCCGCGACCACGACCGCCGGTATCGGCTGTCCCGATGGATTCCCATCCAAGCCCTCATGCGGCGTTTTCCAAGAGTATACTGGAGGAGGAAACTACATCAATGATATAAGTGGAACACATTCGGTGAAAGAGTGTCTGCGGTTCTGCATAAATGATGACACCTGCACTCTGTTTTCCCATGGCTCAGACTTTTGCGGGCTGTGGAATGGAGACTTCTCTACCAATAGGGTTTCTGCGGATTGGAGCTGGTATGAATTGGGCTGTTTCTGTGTGGAGAGGGCACCTGTGGATTAAGAAAAGCAAGGGGAGTTACCTGAGTTGACTCACTGGGGGGGGGGGGGGGGTACATCATATTTCCTTACCAACTGTCTGCTGTATATTGTATCAAACTTCGTCATTTACAGTTTCGACTATGACTTACTCGTGGTTTGTGCGAGTAAGAGGCTGAGTTACCTAAAGTTTAATCAGAACAGGGCTATATGCCTGCTCCATTATTAGTCACTTAGAAGCTTCGGAAAAAGACAAAGTGTTGGTCGATGCATTATAAGAACCACCAGCCATCGCAAGTTTTTCCTATCCTCAAAAGACAACAAAAAACAAAACTTTCAGCATGACTTTGACATCCAGCAGCCCGGAGAGACCCATCACCTACAAGTGGTCATCGCTCCCTCAAGAGCTTCGACTGCAAATCTTTGGATACGTGACCGGACAGCGAAATTATCGAGCTAGGGGCCTTAGTCGCTTTGCCTGCGTCTCTTCCGAATGGCAAGATCACTTTGAAAGGATCACATTCCGACGCCTTTTGATCGACAACTCCCAACTGGTAACATTCTCCAACGTGACCGAGGGCGAAAAGGCTGTGAGATTGTCATATATACGTTACCTATGCTTGAGAATCAAGCTCCAGGACTACGATTACCCGGAATGCAATAACGAGGAGTCCATTGCCACGATAAAATGGTGGGATTGGTGATCGTCTTGTCGTGCATATTTCTAACAATATATCGTAGTAATAACAGGAGATTTTCTGATTCTCTGATTGGATTGTTTAATGTGCTCTGCCGTTGGGAGCCTTCCACCGATCGGGACACCGGATTAATACTCGATATCACTGCTTACTCACCTGGTGACAACAACTTTTCCGAAGAAGCATCGTTAGAATACGCTATACATAACAACTTCCAGCTGTAAGAGGACCTCGAAAGCTCACTTAGCATTCGAGACTTCATCCGTATAAATGCTCTTAGACGTCTGTGCGACCCTGGGAAGAATTGGCATAGGCCAAAGACCGAGAAAGGATTGAGGCGACTACAAGGCACACCACTTGAGTTGAGTACAACGAAGAAATTCAATCAAGTCCCGATCGTTCATACTCTCTGGATACGCCATCAGTTCCACAGAGGGATAGATAAAAGGAGCTTGGTACGGATCTTGCGCATGGCTCTGACGAGCGTCGTTTCTTTCCGGCTCGAAACTTTCGGTGACTGGACCAGTCTAATTCTTCGACTTCCCGATCATATTCGTCGATTTTCCTTGAACCTCGTCTCAAGATCACTCGCTCAGTCAAACACAGCATTCATAGAAGGAGCGCCTGAACAACCAAAATTTCTAGCAGAGAAAGCTCACAATTTGGTCGCACTCTGTCCACCTGGTGGCATGAACCCACTGCATTTTATTCAGCATCTTCGAAAGTCACAGCAGTACCAAGAACTCGAACATGGTTCAAAACTGGAGCAGTTATGTCTTGAGGGTCCAAATAAAGCTTACGGAGACGCTGTATTGTTCCAGGGTCAGTTAAATGGTCTCTTGGAAGAATCTGCCGTCACCGCCCGAGAGTTGCCAAATCTCCAGATTATGGAAATTTGGTGGCACAATGGGATAAATGCCTGTTTGTTCAGATATGAGCTTGAGAAAGACCAAGTTACCATCACATGGAGAGTAACTGAAAACTGGATAAACCTGACAGAAGGAAGTAGGCAACAGTGGGCGAGAGTAGCTCAGAAGTATAATGTGGGCTTTTCAGTTAAGAGAGAGCCGTTTTGGGAAGTCAGGCGAAACGGCATGCGTATTGATGGGAAGAGCATCTACCGGCACTTGAAGCTGTGCGATTTGGCAGTCGATCCAGTTACTCTGGCCTATGCTGAGACAAGGCTAGGCTGGTAGAGCAAAGGGAAGGACAAAGAATCAGATTGAGTATCACTTAATATTTGTTCCAGGCAGACACGATGAAGTTGCGAGGACCAAACGAAAGCCATCCTGTATTTGTAGTTTGTACATGCAGCCATTTATGCGACACCAGGCGTGGTGCATAAGACCGCAAAAACAAATTATCCCGAGCATGCATTTCTATTATTGGCATCTATATATTACTGGTCATTCTCGTTAGTCAGCGTCACTCAGCCCAACACCTCAGACCTGCACAGCCTGATCAGGCTGCGTACTTTTCATCTTCTTTACCCCTCACCTCAGAGCGTCAGATCATTTATCCAGAGAGAAAATCATCATGGTTACAGGCTTTGAAGCACTCGGCGCGGCGAGCGCAGTCTTGCAAGTCATCTCGTTCGCAACCGACATCACTGTAGCCTGCAAAAAGGCATACGATGGAGCTACAACTTCAGAGGATGACCTGCATCGCCACGCTAAGCAAATGTTTGAAGCCGTCGATCGAGTAAAATCCCGCTGTGGACAAATGACCAACACGAACGCCAGCTTCAGCAGTCCGGAGTTGAAAACCATTACTCAGGATTGCAATGATGCTGCCAAAGAGATCGAGGCACAAGTTAGCTATGTGACAAGCTTACAGGCAAAAGGCGATATCGGCAAGGCGTTTCGCAAGGCGTTTAGGACATTTCGTCGTAAGAAGAAGCTTGAGGACCTTGAAAAATCGCTGTTTAGGTATAAACAACTCATAGACATCGAGTTGCAATCGCATCTATGGTGGGTTTATTGTAGACGACATTCATGCATACGCTGATGACCTCTTCTTCAGTTCGCGCAGCGAAGCTATCAGACTCAAGCAGGAATCTGCGTTCCAGAAGCTCGATACCGACGTGCAGTCTCTTGTCAACCAGCTTGCTCAAGGTGTCACCGACGTACAAAATCTCGTCAAGAATGAGCACACTACAACACGATCCGCTATTACCAAGGAAATGACCAGGGCTGAGGTAGCCATCAACACGCACACCGATAGCCAAGTCTTGGAGCTCAGGACCACTGCTGAGACAAGCAGGAAATGTGAAGTATTTCTTCAAAGCCTCAAGGCTCCACGGATGAATCAACGATACAATGATGTCATGGACTCTAGAGATGCAAGCTTTAAGCAAGTATTTGCTACTTATAAGGAAATGATAGACATGTATCGCGAGGCTTCAGAAGAAAGCGGTTATTCAACAGATGACGATGATTCGGGAGATGATGATAATCCAGAGGATGACGCCAACACTTCGAATAATAGCCATGACAGCGCAGATGTTGATTCAGAAGGCAATGAATCATCCGAAGCAGGTAGCCACTTCAGTGACCTGAGCGACATGAACGATATTTTCCTCTCATGGGATTCTTTGAACATGTGGCTGCAATCAACCGACAAGTTTTTCTATATTCAAGGAAAACCAGGTTCGGGGAAAAGTACACTGGTCAAATTCATCCTAAATCAAGACCAAACCAAAGAGTTGATCCAAAGATGGAGCCCTGATGCGATCATTATTTCCTACTTCTTCTGGAAAATCGGTGCAGAGGAGCAAAACAGCATAAAGGGGCTTTGGTGCTCTCTGCTTTATAAAAGACTTCAGGATCAGCAACCGTTGATTTCGAGTACTCTAGAGCACTTCAGTCACTTTTCTTCACACTCAGAATATCACGATTGGTCTATCAAGGACTTGCAAGAAGTCTGGGGCCATGTTTCAAAATTAGATACTCGACATATTTGCATATTTATCGACGGCCTGGACGAGGTCCGGAACGAAGATGGGTTCTCGAAGCTTGCTCAGTCTATTCATTTGATATCACAACTTCGAAGAACTAAGTTGTGCGTTTCGGCCCGGCCGGAGGCACAGATTGTGAGGTGGTTGCGGACAACCAATGCTACTGGAATCCTGCTTGAGGATTTGACAAGATTCGATATGCTCCAGTTTGTACGCGGCAGATTCTGCCAGCTGCTGCCGAATAGTCAAGTCTCTTTAGAAAGATCCCAAGAACTACGCCGACAGCTTGTAGCTAAGGCGCAAGGCGTATTTTTATGGCTCCACCTTGCTACTCGAAGCATAATCGAGGGGATCGAGAACAGCGATTCTGAGAATATGCTTTTTGCACGACTGAATTCGCTCCCCGGAGATCTCCAGAACTTATATATCGACCTGTGGCAGAGAATGAATGCAAAAAGCCCTATCTATGTGGAGACAGCTCGCAGGTACTTTCGTTATGTCTTGCAGGATCCAGGTTACCCAATCTTCGTTGGAGTTGGCCCGGATTGGAGGCGTTATTCAAAACCATGGTTAATTCAAATTGCTTGCGCTGATAACTTTGAAGTGAAAGAAAAAATTCTGAAGAGCAAAGGTAAGGTAGGACCAACAGAGATTCTGCAAAGGTGCGAAGAGACAAAGGCGGCGATACAAAGTCGGTGCGCAGGGTTGCTCGAGGTGCGACCGGAGAAGGACTACCCTCATTTTTTCGGAAGACTGGGAGATAATGGCAATGTTTTCGGCAAGGTAGCATTCATTCATCGAACTGCACATGATTTTCTGACAGACACAGAAGCGGGTCAAAGCATTCTGGGACACGGACTGTTCTCCGGCCTTTCCACTGAAACGGAGTTGTTAAACGGCCTGATTTGTACAGCGATAATTGTGGCATCTGAATGGCCATTATCGTTCACTGATTACTTCATCATCAATGAAATCACCGATTTTGCAAAACGCTGGGGAAGCGAAAGTTTGCTATTGGCTACAGAGATGCTTGACATGGTTCGGCCATTGTATGACAGAAAGCGAATACGACCTGGGGAAGATCTTAGGATACCATCCGAGCCATTCTTTGGTCAATTGACCACGGACGACTTATTTGATGAGTTTGTCATCTCCCGTCTGGCAACCGAAACCTCGCCTGCTCCAGCCACCAGCGTCCTGCGTGAAGGATGGGCTCTGCAGTCTCATATAATTGAGTTCAGGAGACTGTCCAAGAGACTCTTCTTTGCACTGATAACAATTGGAGCCAGTCCACACGAGTATGGCATACCTTATAGTCCAAAATCATTTCCATTTGCTGCGAGGGAAACGGCATTTACCAACCTTCTCACATCTTTTATTATCTCAACAAAAGGTCGCTTTGGGTATCGCGAAGATGCGGATGACGAGCTGCACCAAAGAAAATCACTTGAAACTTTGGAAATCGCATTACATATGGCCACGACTTATCATAACCTGGATAAAGTCGTTTCTTTATTTGCTTACATTGATGGAGCTGGGCCTTTGCGTATACTCCCCCTTGAACAAATAGTATATAGGCTCGGAGGAACCAGGCTTCGATTAGCCTTTGTGGTTCTTGAGGTCAACATACAGTTTCTGATGTTATACATAATCTACAAGGTTGGTGTTGATCTGACCAACTCTGTCCTCACGTCTCTTCGAGGTCAGGATGTACTATCACGAATCAACAGTCCCTTGGTCAAGATGCGATATATTCAGCTACCGGAGGCAAAAGATGGCCATTATGGGCAATACTATCCATATCAACGGACATTTCAGCGCATTATATCACGAGAATCACTGTCAAGGAGCGATATTGAACTGCTTTTTGACATGGACTTTGGGACACGCTCTCATGGGTTATTTGTGCCACTATTCAAATATGAGGAAAGACAAGACCTCGCTATCATTACCCGATACGCCAAAGACAAGGAGACCGAAGAAGTCGGTGTGGAAGATATGATGACAAGCTTAGCTACCGAGAATCTAGGATTCTGTACATGCGAGGAGGCAGGCATTACTCCACCCTATGAATATCTAAGAAGGGAAAGAGAAAATAATACATTATCCTGGAGATTATTTCCTTTGGCAATGGCACGGCTTGAATCAGCAGCAGCAGCGTCTACGAGGTACACCGTATAAATGTGTGTATAGACGGAAAAGTGGTACGGCCAGAAGTGAGGGGGGGTAGGCCACCTCCTTAGTGCTGGTAGCCAATACAACCGCATTCACACGTGAAGCGGCGGCAACTGTCAATGAAGGAATAGAAGGTCACGAATGATTCTCATCTGATAACCACTTTTTATGTAGACTCTTTCTCACAAGGTATGATCAGGATCTCCGGCTTGGAGAACATTTTTCAAATCGAAACTTCCGTGGTCCTATGGTTCTGTTAATTCTTATAGCCGAAGATACCCTTATTTGGTGGATCTCTTTCTCTCTGTGCAATGTTCACAGCTTCTGAAAAAATCAATTCTTTCTCGGCTAGAAGATCCAGTACCTCCATTGTCCATTCCTGACATCTTTTTGTATTCACCTAGATATGAGTTGGTTAGTCGCCGTAGCGCCTTTACAACTGGCTTCTTACTCCATTGATTGGCGCACGTATGTTTTGTCCTTTAGGAGGCGGAGGTACAGATTCTGCAAGTCGTTCGATAAGACTTCTCGGTGTATTCTCTCTGATCTCTATTTCGGTTTCTGGGTAGTTGTAAAGTATTGAATTGTCAATCTTCCCAAGAAAGACCAACCGCTTCAGGTCCGGGTAGGCTTGAGTATTGTAGTTCCGATGAACCTCGAATGCGAAACCAGACATGAGAGGTTCTCCCACAACATGTATCCTTATTCCAATAGCCTTGAGAGACCGGAAGTCTTCACTGATAGTATCTCGATCATATTCTGCGTTCGGAATGAAGAGGGCGAAATGAGAGCGTTGGTTCACGCCTCCACCGGACTTGGCAAGATATAGTGAGCGGGTTAGCATAATAAGCTATGAGAATAGCTTTGCAATAGTATATGACTCGTATTGTTGGAAAAGCTAACTTCTGAGAGTGTTGTTATCTCTTGTCGACATTTAAGAAGCGGGGTTTCTCGGCTTTCTGGACAGTAATTGGCTAACAGAGATTGTATGCAAGGGTCGACCAACACACCTCATAAACGAGGCATAAACGGGCTACTCACAAACTCAAGCCATAGGACGACTTCGCAATATCCATGGTCATCTACTACGTAACACACAAACAAAATATCGTTCGCAATTCGATAGTATCACCTCCGGGCCCAGGTCCACTTCCAGGTCTCAATACACTTCTCATAACGCGCTTCCGCCCACTTCCTCTGCTCATCACCCGACCCCAAATTCTTCTGACGCACAGAAACCATATGCTCATACAACTTCAAAGCCGTATACACATTTCTGTTCTGAAGATATGACTCCGCAAGACTATTCTCAGAAGACATAGTCCTCTTATGTACCAGCCCAAGAGTCTTCCTCTGAATAGGTACCAGGTCTTCTAAAAGTGAAATGGCCTTTGTAAGCTCCTTGATCTTTAAGTATTGATCGATGAGGGATACTTGAATCTTGAGGGTGTCTAGATGTGCTTTGCCTAGGATCTGCTGCTGGATCGGTAGAGTCTCCTCTAGAAGACAGATGCATTTCTTACGTTCGCCTTTGTGCTCGTATGAATAGGCGAGGTGGTTCTTGACGGCAATAAGAATCGGGTCGTCTTTTGCAATTGTGCTTTCCGACGCATCGATCCCCATCTCGAGAATATCAGCTGCCTTTTCATACTCTCCAACATAGTTGTAGCATTTCCCCAGTTCGCCCAGCAGTATCAACTTGTCCATGGCGCTTCTTTTACTGCCAGCTTTCCTGAGCTTCTCCAGGCGATCAATTTCATGCTTTGGTGCACCGTTGAAACGATGGCACTTTGCGAGAACACATGACACCGCCAACAAGCTGCTCTCATCTTTTGGAAGATGCTTCCCTTGGAACACCAATGACTTTTCCGAAAGTTGAATCGCCTTTGCTGACTGCCCTGTTTCAGCATAGGCTTCTGCAAGGTCGAGTTCAATGCGAAGACGCCTCTTGGTGTGCTTTAATGAGGATTTCTTTATCCATTCCACAGCTTTCTGAAGCCATGGGATTGCTAGGATGCTGTTTCTTTGCCTTAAGAGCCAAGATCCGACTTTAAACATAAGCTGAAAGCGATCGTCGAATCTCACATCAAGATCTTGACAGTTATTAAGGACACGGATAGCATGGGCATGGTACGTCTTCCAGGTTAATCTCTTTGGCCAATCCACCGGCGGGACAAGCTCGTTTAGGCGCTTTGTAACTATTTCCGTCAGGCCCTTGGAAGCTTTCTTTTGTTTAGCCCATACTCTGATGCATAAATGAATGATAGTGGGCATGTCGAATATACTGCCCCCTTGCTTTGGAGCCAAGAGAAAGAAGCTACACAATATACCGATAGACTCTTCGAGTTCGGCCTTTCCACCCTTGATTCCAGGGCCAGCAAGAATTGTTCTTGGGATGGAGGATGGTCCAGTTTGCGAAATGAACTCAAGTAGTCTCGCGGCGCGTGGATTGAGCTTCTGAATTGCCTCGAAGCATTTCATAGCGTTCTTGAGTATGGAGTCCTCGGACTCTGTCCCTTCTCTTGTCCCGTCAGTACTTTGTGAGACGAACGGAAATGCATCTTGACCGGGGCTGCGCAGCAACTCCAAAAATTTGGCTATCGTCAGATGGGCATGGTTGTTAAGATACCTTGCTGCCAGTTGAATACTCAAAGGAAGGCCATTTAGTTCGGATATTAGTTCCTTCACTATATCCTCATCTGAAAGCAGCCCCTTGTTAAACAGGGAATATCTTAGAATGGAGATTGCGTCTGGCATTTCTATCCCACTGACTTTGATGACCTTATTCACTTGATTTCCAACCGCGGCGGTTGCAGCTTTCATCGAATGTGTGATGAATAAGATGTTACCCTCCTCGCTATGAGGTAGATCGCTGAAAACACTCTTGGGCTGAGCACTAGGACTTGATGGATCGTTGTCGGTATCAGCGTCGTCAATAATGAGGAACCACCTTCCAAGACGTTCTGACGATAAATAACGATGAAAAAGGACTCTTGCATCAGTAGACTTCGACTCATGTTCATAGCGGCGAAACAGATCCAACTTTTGTGCAATCCGCGAGTAGGACTCCTCGAAGTTGCCTGCTGACAGCCAAACGATAGAGTATTTCGGGTATGAGGAATGAACCCATTCTACAAATTGAATTGCGATTTGGGTCTTGCCGGATCCAGGAAGCCCCGTGAGTGCCGCTCTCTGATGTCCATCTTGGGGGAAGGCGGCCTGTAATTTTTTGAGGTAGTTAGGTCGGTCTATAGAGGAAGGGGATCGCTTTGTTGGTACATGGAAGCAAGGCTGTGGTGGTGGTTTCGTCTTCCAAGATACGGGTAGCGGAGACTGGCTCTCTTCAGGGTTTTCTGGACCCTGTGGACTCGGGCTTGAAAACACGAAATCTTGTTGTGGCTAAGACACATGAGTACCCTATGGAAGTATGGGAGATAGCAGAAGGCACCTACCGCGATCAAGAGTTCAAAATCTTGCCTGGCACTTCCTGTAAAAGAAATCATTAGCTCGCGTACGCCTACTAGTTCTCCATTACGCACTCTTCTTTAGTATCAGGTTCTCAACACATTTCTGTACCCAGAAATTTTGGACTTGGCTGTCCAGATACCTATCGGTGGCAGTCTGAATCTCCCTTTTCTTCCGGTATTCCTTCATCCCTACTGTCTGTAGTCCATGATCGACGTTGAACCGAAAGTATCGCCCTTGTTCAAAGTGATGCCTCCACCTCTTAATCGATGCCTCTGCTATCTTCTCGGCATCTGTTGCCATTTTGGCCAGGGCACCTATGAACTTATCGACTCGATCATCAATATTAAATGTTGGAAGTCTGCCTGTTCCTATTGATATAAAGCACTTGACCAGTGGCTGCAGGTTACCTGTGCTCGGACACCAGATCTCCATGGCCTCTTCTTCAACTTGGTCGACTGGGTTATTGGCTCCGAGAGCCCCGTCCACATATTTCATGCCCTCGATGGAGACCGGGTTGAAGAAAGTGGTTGCAGCGGATGTTGCCCGAGCCGCTTGGCAGATAGTCGCACTAACGGAGCTTTTATGGCTATTGTAACTCCTGAATCGACATACAGCCGCGTCGAGCTTTGAGGTTGCGCAAACAAAGCTAGCAGGTTTCAAAGGTTAACGAATTGATCTATGAGGAAAGCTAAATTGATCGGCGGGGCTTTATACTCACACCTTGCAGTCAGGTTTACGGCTATCAACCATACTGTCTGTTGACGATAGACCTCTATCCTTCAAAGTTTTCTCGATCGCCGCCTTGAGTCCTCCAGAATCGAATCGAGCCTGCGTCTGCCCCAGCAAGCTAAACTTTGACTGGTGAACCCTTGCCTTCTCATTGAAGACCACCTTGATAAGGTCGTTATAAGCCAAAATGCATTCATCGACATCCATTTGCAGCCTTCCGAGCATAATAGCGATCAGTCTGGCAATGTTGGTTAGCAATAGTGCATCCTCGGGTTTCTGGTAAACCTTACCCGCCCGTACTAGTGCCTCCGATTAGATCAAAGATATCCGCTGGCTTCTGTGGACTTTGTCCCAATTTCTTCCTTTCGGCATTATATCCATCCATGATGCGTTTGAGCACGTATAGTGAAGATAAGCCGCGTACCCCGCCTCCATCGAGGGACAGCATGCAAATGCCCTCCTCATCCAGCAAACCCACGTTCGGCGACTTTTGATTCTGTTCGTTCATTTTTTTATCGTTCGGGTATGTCATGAAAAGAAGAAAATAAGACGATTGGAATTCCACGCTCAGCCTCGTCTTCGTGCCAGTCAGACTGGCTGTATGCAAGTTGTAGTCAGCTGCTTATCTATTTCACCGCTTATTGGCCTGACTCCCCCCGCAGTTGGTGCAACTTGGCAAGGTGAGCGGCTGCATGCCTCTGAGAAGTCGACATTATATTCTACATCGTTGAGTTTAATATCCCGATTGTAAGACTCGAAGTGTTCAGATTCGCTTCCCCAGGGTCGCGATTGGGTAGATGTTACGAGCCCATTGGAACTGACCCAGTTGAAGCCCCTCTGTGGCGAGCTTGAGTATTTTGTTGTCAACACCGAGATAATGAAGGCGTTAGTAGCTAAGGTTTCATACAGCTTGACGGGATTTTTTAACCTTTCGTCATTTCATGCCCAATTTAGAAGAACTCTAGACAGTCTTAGCAGGATGTCCTCCATAACTTTGACATAGAAGATACCATACTAATGAGATTTAATTCGTGTTGCCTCGGCTACAAATGTCAGATGACAAAGGCTAGAGGTCCACCAATAGGCAAACAATCTTTTAAGCTGCCATCAAGCTCAAAAGAGCAGGTGGTAAGATCACAGCCTCTCCAAGTGGTCTTGTTGCTACGCCGCCTGGAAGGCGCAGTAGCCAGACACTTATTAAAAACTTCTCACTGAGCTATTTTCCGCTTTTCCGAAACCTATGAAAATAACCTTAAAACAAGCCATCGGAACTTTTCATACAACTATTCAAGATGCCGACCATCACGGAATATTTTGGCAGTGGACTCACCAACAACGGTCCACTAACAACAACCTACACGCCTCCCACAAGCTGCACAACCGTAACGACAGACCAAATCCTTTTTGCGCACCCCGACTTTATAACAGTCAGTTACGGAGCCCCAACATGCGAGACTACTTCAATGGGAAAATGCATCCCATCTGGCTCCGATTATGACAAGGTGGTCTCCTACTACAATAATTACGGAGGTCAGGGCACTATTGACTATTATTCACCCGGCATATTTTGTCCCAAGGGTTGGACTACAGCTGGTACGTTAGCACATGGCAACAAGACAGGTTCTGTCGAGAGGAGTGGTGTCTTCACGGAGACGACAAGTACGTTGCCAGGCGTGACTGTTGTTGATCCGAATATGCCGCTTGAACAAGTGTGGCTTAATGCACTGGGTCCCTCTGAGACGCTTGCGTATTGCTGCCCTAGGTATGTCCCTGCTCCTTTAAATTATACTGCTGTCTGACTTTACCAGTGGCTGGGTTGCTGCAAAAGAAGGAGGTTGCTTCTCGTCAATCAAGCCCTTGAAATCAGCAACATACACAGAAGCCTGCTTTAAATACCGACCGCCAAGCGCGATGCATTCCGTCTACACGGTCGAGGGAAGCAAGGTGTCAGAATTCCTGTACTCAGCGGTAACGGCGGAGCCAACGTCAGCGATTTGGCCAATGTCAGTCTTGCAAACTCAGTCGAGATTCAAATATGACGAACTTGCAGTTGCTAGACGGTTTCCTGCTGTGAAACTTGTATACAAGGAGTCGGATCTGAAGCCAACTGGGGGTGGAGATGAAAGTAACAACGGAGATAATAGCCATGATGACGAAAAAGACGATGAAGAGGAAGAGGACGATGATAACGGAGCCTCCAGTCTGTTGAGAAATGGGGGGCTTTTCTCCATTATCGTGATGCTGTTCAGCATGCTTATTGGCGCTGGTTTAGTGATGTTTTAGTTATCAAGAAGATCGCGAACGTTGATATTACAAATGAGATAAAAGAAAGCTAGGTTTAGAACCCCATATATTCCCCTTCGAAACAGTCTGATATCGCTTTTGCATCCTGAGAGCCACAAGACAAACCCCCAATCAACGCAGTCCATACAAAGAAAGCCTACCCATCGTCAGATAAACCTGAATCCGAAGAAACACCATCTTCGTCATCCTCCAAATCTTGATCATCATCCACATCTCCAGTTCGTTGACCAAAAGCCATCTCAAGGAAGTCAACTATATTCTCCCCATCATCCTCAGAGTCAATCTCCGAATCATCCTCATCCTCACCACTATCCTCCTCCTGTTCAATCTCCGCAAAGAACCTTCTACAAAACTCCCCAAGCGACCCTGTCTTTCGAATAATATCCTCATGCAGAACCTCCCTCTTCTTCTCAGCCGCCGCTTGATCATATCTACTCCCGTGTAGTTTCCGCATGTTCTCGTGGACCCGCGCAAACACCAAGTCACACGCGTCGATGTCTTCGGCACGGTTTGTCTCCACATAACTATCGTCCTGCTTGGCTTGGGCCGTTGGGTTAACGGGGACACGTAGGATAGTCTCGCCGTCTTTTTGGTAGCCGCATGTTTCGATGTAGAATTCCGTAAGTGTTGTTTTGCTCAAGGCTGTGAGGATGTCGACCCATGTGCCGGATTCGAGGTAGACTCCCATGAGGACAACTTCTCGCAGCGCTGTGGACCGTTGAAAGAGGGCTATGAGCGTTTCGCCTGTTATAGACAAGCTCTGCAAGTCTAGTACTTCCAGGGTCAAGGGTTCCAGGCTTGATGAGTCCAGCACCAATACATCGGGTCCTTTCACCTTGAGGGTGTTGAGGTTTGTCGCGAGTGGTATCAGCTCTCGTATATATCTGTCGAATATTTGATTAGATTGGTTATACCGAAATTCCAGGTCTTCGTCTTCTTCAGTACAGTGTCCGTAGTGAACACTCAGACGCTTGAGCCGCTTGAAGAATGCCTGTGGAGAGTGAGGTCCTCCATCGTCGTCATCTTCGAGAAAATGCCCAAAGTCATACGCGAGAGGAAGCGAGAGGTCGAGTTCCTCCAGATTCTGGAGCCCAGATCTGAAGAGAGCTGTGGCGAGGGACTCGAAAAAGTTCTCAGTGTCTTGAACCCAACAACAAGTATTCAGACCTGGGTCATCAAACTCTTGACTGTAGCTATAAGGAATGTCCTCAAAGTTAAGCTTCAGAATCTTCAGATTCGTAAATCTGGGTAATGCGCTATGAATCACCGAACCCATTCGTGCAATGTACTCCAGGTCTTTGTCTCTCTCCTCGATCACGGGCTTGTAATCTTGGAAATCATTCGGACCCCGAATTTTCAAGCAAATTTCCAGCCGGCGTACAATTTCGCGAAGTTGAGGATTCTTTGACAGTTTCACAAGACGAGCAGTACCCGTAACGCCGCTGCTGGTCACGGCGGTAACGCCCCATCTTGTTGTGACACTGCCAGAGTAGATGATGGCGTGCTGAAAGAGGATTGGTGTGACGAAGTCGTAGAACAGACCATTCACGGCACGTAGAGACGCTAGGTACGGGCGTCGCTTGATCCCTGCTACCTCATACGGGCCTAGAGGAGGATCGTATCCACCGAAATGGTGACGCTCATAGCCATCGTGGAGATACGACACGATCTATGTGTGGTCAGTATCACGACAAGTATCAAGTGGGTGATTATTAACTTCTTGGAGGATTTCAGGTGGCAGCCTCTCAAGAGAAGACATGTTGCTCGGACCCTCAAAGGCTTTGAAAGATGAGCGAAGTCGTGTCATGAACGAGTAGTGATAGTGGGGCTATTCCGGAAACCGTTACATCCTTTTTCCGATGCTTCTCATTGGTGGAGCTACATGGCTGTAAGGCAAGGTACGTAAATGACCTTACAGACGCAACCCGACATTGTTCTTTTGTCAGGTAACACAAGCTTATTCATGTGATGCGATGTCTGCGACTCATACAGAGCAGCACAAATTATTTGTCAGCCTCAGGAGGAAAGAACACAGCCACTAAAGCTCAGGCCCTAGCCACACAATCAGCCACGGCGTCTTCGTACCAGAACCAGGGTTTGTCCCAACAGATTCTGGCATTTGATAGTTTCATGCTTAGGAACAAACCAAAAGAGGTCGCCTCTGCCCCGTAACCGTGTGCCGTACTAGTTCCGGTAGTGGGACCATCTGGTCGGTAGCGTGAGCCGACCCCGAGCACTATTTGAGTTTAGCTTGCGATATGAACTGTTAGTACCCGCAATGGAGCGCACTCTATTTCGCCCTTCTCATGCATGAGATGACGCCCCTCGCTTCCGTGGGCTTGCTTGACACGTGCTATGACAGAAGGTGCACCTAGTAGATTAGATCCAGGGTTGCTTTGATGACGTGGATCATCGCGTCAATGACAATGGAAGGACAGAAAACCCTCCGAGCTTTAACTGGAACGTTCGAGTAGGACGTGATAGATAGATTCGCGCTTGGGCCATAGGCCCGAGTGGCAAGAACGAAGAATCTCAGCCTGTACGATATCTGGATCGCTCAAACGAGGTCGAGCGACGACTATGTTGGTATGCGCCTTTTTCTCGGGCAAAAGAGAAATACAGTGTTTGCCCTTTTGCTAGTAATGCTGCCCGTGAGCAGTCGTGCCCATTGGGTCGATAAGACAGAGAGGCGATGAAGAGGATATTCAGCTGTCTAAGCACCATCCATAGTGTATGATCAGGCCAGCGTTGATGCCCCTCTCATCGCAAACCAGTACCGAATTAGGGGTGTCCATTGACGTGTGCATTGATGATCTGCAGAACCTCGGCAACTCTAGACCTAATCGACTAACACGGTAGTCCAAGTTAAGCTACGTAGGTGGAGTCCACTAACGACCACAGAAACTAAGCCAGCCAGATGGCAAAATGTAACCAGATTTACATGTGGCATCCAACCATCATGATTAACTATATAAAGACCAAACCCAACTTCCTCGACGGACCAAGATAGTCGAATCCCATCTTCGTCTTTGTTTACAATACACGCAAAATGGCTTCACGATCCTCAACTGCCGTGTACGAGTCCAACTCGTCACGACTCGACGCAAATCCATCTGCCAGCCTCAAGTCGAGACAGAACCCGAAAGACTCTATGAAGTCGACTTGGCGCCGAACCGATAAAAATAACTGGACATGGTCGCACTGGTTTTTCGAAATCCTGGGTATTCACCACGTCGCCCTGGACAAAGACGTACCTGTGCATCAGAAGCGAGACAAAGTTCCTTATACTCCAGAGTGGCAGTTGCATCGTTGGGTGCTTGTGCATGCACTCGTTCCGATGGCTATACAACACGCCTATGTGCTATACACTGGGCAGAACCTTACACCCCTCCAAGCCTTTCTCTTCTACAGTCTTGCCTTCAAGGTTACCGCTGTGCATCAGCTCCATGCTCTTCGCCGAGTCGGTCACCAGACTGGCTTCTTGGATGGTGATGTACATGAGAGAGACGGCGTGCCTGATGTCGGCGTTACCAAGGTCGTCAAGAGCCTCATCGCCACCTCTAGCTTTCGCCCTATCTTCACTGTCTTCCTCAGCTACCGCACCGCCCAGGCCCCTTCATCCATCAGCTGGGTTTGGCTCCCACTCGAAATTGGCCTGTACGGCATCGTGCTTGACTTTTGGTTCTACTGGTACCATAGACTCATGCACGAGGTCGGCAGTCTTTGGAAATACCACCGCACGCATCACCTGACCAAGCACCCCAACCCGCTCCTGACACTCTACGCCGATTTCGAACAGGAGATCTTCGACATCGCCGTCATCCCACTCGCGACTTACTTCTCCCTCAAGTTCATGGGTCTTCCCATGGGCTTCTACGAGTGGTGGATCTGCCACCAGTATATCATGTTTACCGAGCTGGGTGGCCATAGCGGTCTGCGAGTCTACACATCACCTCCCGGCACACTTAGCTGGCTTCTTCGTCTTCTTGACGCTGAGCTTGTGATTGAAGACCATGATCTTCATCATCGAAAGGGCTGGAAGGCTAGCGGTAACTATGGCAAGCAGACTCGTCTGTGGGACAAGATCTTTGGGACTTGCATTGACAGGATAGAGTTGAAGGATTCAAACATGGACTGGGAAACAACTGTTGACCTTCCGATCTTTTGGTAAACGATTGATGACAGCTTATGACTTTGGCAATTTGATGAGAAATATTCGCAAACATCTGTATAGTTTTAGATAAGTAGTTAGTTAGAGGTTACAATTCTATTATTAGTATGCTCAGCCACTAGGACTTCAAGGCTAATCATCGTATTCTTCCCGTAGCTGCATGTTTGTGTCATACTTAGTCCCCATATGAAACAATGAGCCCTGTGTGAATCTATGAGTTGCTTGTACACCGCCGCTGACCATTCCCCTCATACCACTGTTCGGGGTTGTGAAGTCCAAAGCATGTCGTGCGGTGCCTGTCTGCCTGATAAGTAAATCCAAAGCTCGCGCTTCAGGGCACCGAGCTTTTCTCCATCTCGATTCCTCGTTGATTCGTCCCTTTGTTCCTCGATCAATGGAACGTCCAATCCTGTTTTTTTCGCTATATGACGCATAACCCTCGGCTAGAAGCTGTCATTGGGTAAGCAAAGGGTTCACAAACGGTATGCCTTGCGACACTCCACAACCTTGGCCCCCAAATCCTCAGGATTACAGGGTGTTAATCTCTCAACCCTGTGAAATCTAAAGCAGGTAGTATATATGGTATTGGGTGACAATCCACTGTTCTCGGGATATTTCCAACTTTAATTAAGGTTACCCGATGTCTTTCCCGACACTAAACCTTAGGCCCAAGAGTCCGCACGCTCAGCTAGAGGGAGAATCTGCTAAAGAACCATCGATGGGCAACACTGCAGGAGAGCAGCCAGCCATTCATCCGCATAGAACAACCCAGCCACCGTTTTGGCTGAGGAAATCCGCACTGCTCATATTTGCCCTCGTCTTCGCAATCCTTGCTGCATCGCTCATCGCCCTCAAATGCGTTTCCGATTCTAAAGACGGCTTCCCTCTCAACTTCTCCTCCAGCGAATACTCTTGGACGTACGGTCCGACAGCTGTCCTCATAATCGTCTTGAGCTTCTGGAGACGAGTCGACTACTATTATAAGGCTGCCCAACCGTGGAGGGAACTTCAATCTGGGCCTGTACTCGGTTCCAGGTCGCTTCTGCTGGACTATGTGTCACCGTTTCAACTCCAGAGTGTATACCGGGCATTCAAGTTTCGTCACTACCGTGTTTTCGCAACTATCATATCATTCTTTCTCCTCAAAAGTATCATCCTTGTTTCGACTACTTTATTCGTGGTTCAGCATCCGTCGCATGCTGAACCAGTGGATATCACATACGAGAATACTTTCGACGCTGCCAGTACTTGGACCTCCTTCCATTTATCGCCATTTAACAGGGTGAGCCAACTCTTTCTGAGTTACACGGAGGATGAGTGGTTTACTGGCGGCTCGGACAAGCCTATCTACGCATACGTGTCTCGTCTCCGAGGCGATATAGCGCGTGATTATGCATGGAATACCAAAGGTGGAATCGTGACCCAGAGATTCAAATCAACAGCACCGTCAATCAACCTTACATCGCTCACAGCCCCAGTCGACCTATTTGTTCCAGTTGTTACCTGCGAAGATGCAACGTTAACTATAGATCCTCCTACCGTTCAAGGTTCATACTACAGGTGGAACTCTTCCACGTGCTCGACAGGAAAAGAAAGCAATTTCATATGTCCTGACCTAAGGCTTTCTCACAAGAATACAAGCATGTGCGGTAGCCAGCCCTGGGCATATACGCTTCACCGCGTAAACTGTTCCGAAGTCAGGCTTTCGGACCAAAGTAGTCCGGATGATTCAAATTCGCAAAACGATTTGGAGGCCGTTGATTTGCGATACGCCATCACAGTTGCGCACCACAACATTCCCTCCATGGTCCAGCCCGCAAACGTTACAGAGTCTATCAAACTGAGCAATCATTCAGCAATCCTCTGCAAGATCGGTTACAAAATGGTTTCGGTCACCGCGGCTCAGGGCATTCTCTCGCACAATGTGACTCTGACCCCAGCCGCCGGATATGGAGAAGGGAGACCGTTGCGCAACTTGACGAACTCTTCTCTGTCCGAGATGCTTATGACAGACCTTGAAGTGGCGTCTTCTACTTTTTCCTACGTCAAGGATGTCCCCGTCATAACTGTCGAGTTTAACAAGAGGGCCCGCGATTGGACTGCCAGCCAAGCACTATTCCAGTTGATGGCTGTCAAATTGGGAGACAAGTTCAGACCTGATATTCTTTCTGTGCCATCAACGCTGAAGAAGCTGTCGGTGGAGATCCTGGAGGGACTTCTGAATGAGGTTGCTCGTCAGTCACTGCTCGTGGACAAAGCTACAAACAGTACAGGTGATGGTCGCGTAAGCAGCCCAAGGCTCCAAACGAACAATGTCACAGTATGGATCATGGTTTCAGGCTTTTTAGCCTTGTCGATCATCTCCTTGCTCTTAATGTTTGGATCTTCTACACGTTGTTGGATCTCTGCCATGAGTGGCTCTATTGCTGGACATGCCGCTGTATTGGCCAACAATGCTTCACTGCAGAAGATCCTCGAGGGTTCCGGTGAATTGAGCGAAAAGCGCTTGACTGAAGATATAGGAGGCCTGAACTTCGCCATGACTAGCGCCAGTGGTGACGTTCGGATAAGTGAGACAGGAAAAGAGAGTCTTTCCGAGGACCGAGAACGTCAGACAAACAAGGCCAAGCCCTGGACACCTATAGCTGGGACATTGTACTTCGCAACTGCTACAATCGCGATCCCCATACTTGCTATTGGCGCACTTGAGCTACTTCAACAACTCTCTAGTCAAAGACAAGGCCTTTTCGACGTGAACAAAACAGACTCCTCCACCATTTCAATTACACGAATGGCCACCACAGCGATATTCTTTCTCATATCAACCATGGTCAATAGTCTTGACTTTATCATAGCGACTTTTGCCCCGTACAGTGTTCTTCGATCAGGAAGCGCTCCTTCAGAAACAAGTATCTTATTCCACTTGCTATCCGTCTCACCGTTCCTGATAGTATTTAAATCCCTGCGGGCTCGTCAGCCAGGACCAGCGTCTTCCAACATTTCATCGCTTTTAGGCAGCCTCCTCACAATCGTGTCCTCGGGTCTCTGGACACTCACAGGGCCTGTGAATGTTGAGAGATCGACGACAGCAATGGTGGGGAATTGGCGTACATCGTGGTCTGCCATCAGCCAGGATGACTCAGGTGCCGCAAAAACACTGAACCTCATTCGGCACGGCGGTGCAAACTCCTCGGTTGCAATTTGGCAAGACTTAGTATTACCAAGCGCCAGCCTTGCACCCGATATTTCTATGCCTGATACGGTCTCCCAATCCTCCAGCTACAGTTATGCCGTCGGGGCGTTGCGGCCCTTTCTCAACTGTACTATGGTCCCAACAGAGAGTCTTGTAATGAATCCTTGGGTCAAGACGTATTACTACGCCCTCGACGGATCTCTGAGCGGGCACTCCCATGAGAAAACCATATGGGCCAACTTCACCGCTCCGGTCGGTTGCAAAGGTCAGGATGTCAACGGGAAGTCTTATGTATCTTTCAATACGAGTGTGAAGATTGCGGACGAAGGAAAAACCAATTACAGTAGGTGGGTTGGTAGTTACTTGGATCTCAACCTGACCGTTAGTGACCCCGGTGCTGCTTGTCCCTCCATCGGCATCTTCTTTGGAAACATGGGAGGCAATGATACCTCGGCATGGAATATGACAGCATTGACTTGCAATCAAGGTATTGACCAAGTTTCACTCAATATCACGTTCAAGGGCGACCCAGCGCTTGGGAAAATCGATGAGAAGCACCCCCCAGAGCTAGCGCGAAATCAAACTTGGAAATGGGTAAACAGTACCTCAGGGTCATCGGCGCTGAACTACAAACTGAAGAAATTCCTCGATACCCACCTGAAGCTTTATCCAACTCACAACGCCAGCACCGAGAAGCCATTTGACTGTGATCCGTTCTTCAATCACTTAATCTACGGCCCGAAGGCGGTAAAGAAAGAAGAACTTATCGGGCCTCGGAATGTGAGCAATTTGATCGACGCAGTGGAGAAGGGCTACAGCGAGTACATGAGATATGTCATTGATCTCAACTTCCGAGCCGACAAAAAGACCCCCCGTGATGAGCTTGTCAGTGCTCTAGCGTCTCCATCTCCAGCTAGGGAGGCAATGTCACCCAACACAGAGATAAATGGAACAATGCGTCAAGTCATCACTCGCTTTGCCATAAACCCAACTTCTAAAACCATTCTTCAAGTTCTACTGGCTGTCATAGCAGTTCTGAGCCTGGCAGGCTATCTCCTTGTCAAGATTCGCGGTACACTTCCACGCGATCCTTGCAGTATCGCAAGCACGATGGCATTTCTGGCTGGATCTCAGCTATGCGATCGAGATTCGGGTATCATACCGCAGGGAGCTGAATATATGGCTGATGGACAGTTGAAGAAGGCTTTTGATGGCTGGGTGTTTAGTCTTGGGTGGTGGCAGAAAGGCGAGGCTTCGGTGGAGTCAGAAGAGCGGAGTGATGATGCGAGAACATCAGGAGAAACAGATTCTCCGAATGAGACACGGGAGGAGAAAAAGACTCTTGGAAGATTTGGGATCGATGTCGGGCGCGCGATTGTTTCCAAGTTCTAGTGGGAAACAAAATACGGGTGTTCGGATACTAGGAACCCATACCATTCTTGTGTGGACAATGAACTGAATCTTGTAATCTTCATATACAAATGCTAATGACATAAATTTCAGGTCGCTTCTATATATACAGCGCAGAACAAAACTCAATTGGTATCACTTCAAACATTGCTTCGTCTCATCGCCTCGGGTATCTCAGTAATGACTTGCTCAACATCCGTCTTGACATAAATCTGTCTTCCAGCCTCACTTCCCTGTCCACTATGCATGCTTCCCTCACCACCAACTATCTGACTTCTAAGTGCAATCTCATCATCAAACCGTAGTCTGTTTCCTTTCCCTCCATTGGAGATTGTTGGGAAACTTGATCTGCTTTTGCTACCGCCTTTGCGGCGCAGATATCGCAAGAATGACTTGAAGCTGGGGAGGCATGCTGATACGATGCCCATTGAGGGCTCGACCGAGGACCATATAGCTACGGTGCCCATGGCCCATGTGTTGTCGGCGGCTTTGGCGAAGACGTCTAGATAGTATACGCGTACAGCACTGGCTATGCAGACTCTGTGTACTGTTAGTCAAATTCTTCGGACAACCAGTCGTTGCGACTTACAAGCCTCCAAGCGCCAAGATACCAAACACAGCTCCCTTCTTCTCTCTGCTCATCTGAAGCTTGAGTACCTCCGGAACTGGGATCAACAGCACAATGACGTTGGTGAACAGGTTGATAATGGCCAGAATGACAAAGAATTGGCCAACATCAATGCATGTTCCCTCGGTACCTTTGAATTGTGTCCAGTAGTGGCTTATAGGCGTACAGCCAAGTATCATGGTGAACAGGAATATCACTGGATATGATGCCACCAGGAAGGTACCAAACCAAAAGGCGATCTTGAAGGAGAAGCCGCCTCGACTGAATAATCGTCGGTAGAAGAGGAGAATCGAGACTTTTGTTGTAAAGACGGATATTGCAAAGAAGTAAGTATATATGTATGAGAGCTAACAAGATTAGTATAAGTATTTCAATGCATGGTGCTTACGAACCTTGGAGACCTCAACCATTTGATCTATTGTGAGCGCCCAGACATGTTTACCTGCGCCAGCTTGGCCAACTAGAAATATTAGTAATTATCAATTAAAGGACCAATTGACTTACCAACTACCACCATGGCCCCAGTAGCAGCCACAAAGACCCACGATATAATAATGGCATAGTCATCAAGACTCAGCCCATAAACCTGCTGCGTACGAATCACAATGCGACCAGCCAAAAATAAAGCAGAGATGAGCAACAAGGTAAGAACAACAGCAGCATTCTTAGCCTCGCTATTAGCCGAGAGATCTATCCCCTCAGGCGGCGGGCCAAAGATGGCAACTACCAAAGGATCAACATCCATTGCACAAAACAAAAGCTAGAAAAACACTACCACTTAAACTCCCCAGGCCTTGAGAATGGGTGAGACATGGGGGCCTTTTTAACAACCGCGGCTATGCAAATCATTATACATATTCTAAGCAGGATGAACCTCGTGATTAGCGGTGGGACATATTCGTTGCATTGCTCCATATTATACAGCGGGCTCGGCTACCATTATCAGGGGGTCAACTCGTCCGAAACGAGGGCGGGTCCTGTCAGGGGATATTTTTTGAACCTCGTGTTGCGAATGAGGGTCTTGGTAACTATTTAAGTTTCGGATTATGCATAGTTTTAGGAAATGTGATGACGACGTCACCGTTTTTATTCTGGAGATTCCGCCTCTTTTTGTTCAAGGTTGAGGCTATTCATGGCAAGGTTGAAGGACATCACCGTCGAAAATCAGGTGGTGCCGGTATTACCGTCTTGTCCTCGAATTGCCGTGGTTTCATCTTGACTACCCCTAGCACAGCTACATTGGGAAACTCCAACGCGCGCCTGACTCGAGTATTTTCTCAACGTTACATTCGCGACCTTGCGTACAACGGCGCTGCAGTTCTTATCAACCAGAACCCCAATCAACATCCCTGTCTCGGCAACGTGGCTTTTGTCATTATATCCACAGTTGGATTGAGATTCTGCACCTTCTCTTCTTGAAACAGACAAGTCTTAGCTGTGAAAAGGTATGGAGTTCGTCGCAATTGCCGCGGTGATAAACTGGGGTTTGCTGCCGGTATCCCGCAGAGCCTACCCACACAAGGATGTTGAACATGGTGGGCCAATCGGTAGACGGCATTTCGTGACTGATAACGGGCTTCAAACCATTCGAGTTAAAGATCGACGCCAAGAATAAAGACCTTAATAGAGTTTGTCTCATCTTGGCGGGAGGCGCGCTCCCCGAAAGTATATGCAAGAGATATTAACGTTGAGTGCGACCGTGGCAGAGCAGCACCGCATTAGGCTATTCGTGACGCCTGATCTACGCTATAATGTCTAGATCTATAACTTTGTGCTTAAGCGAAGGTTAATCGGGAAGGTGCTTTTGTGTGTGATTCTGAACTGGAGGGGTATATATGCTGCTTTCAGGTTTGAGGAAGTCATCAGGTGATGAGAGTTGTTTATGGGAGATGTGATCGGTGACTAAAAGAGTGGTCCGAATGGTAACTGCCGTGTGATCTTTGGCATATGCGTGCAGCTTTTGTGATAGATGACTCGCGATAGAGGATGCATATGATGTCGTGTTGACCCTGATAGCGACAGACAGATCTTGGCATGCCGCTTGATCCAGGGCTCGGGAAGCCGCGGGTGATGTGTTTCGGCGGGAACGAGACTTAACGAGTAGCGAGATTCGGTCTCAGGGCTGTGTCTGGCGTGGGGGGAGGGCGAGCCATGGTGGGTGATGTTGTTGATGTGAGGATAGTAAAATTTGTCACATATATATAATAAATTTTGTGAAAAGTTATTAATCATCACTAAAATCGGCTTCATGGTCTAGAGGTATGATTCTCGCTTTGGGTGCGAGAGGTCCCGGGTTCAATCCCCGGTGGAGCCCGTTCTTTTTCGTGATGTCGCGAATTGTTTTTTGTCTCCTTTTGAGCTGCAGTTCCTTTTGGACAATGATGTCCTTTTTTCCCCTTCTATGTCTCCTTTTACAATTTCAGTGTGGTTCATTGGCGTATCTGTAGGAAATTGAAGGAGTCATCACAAGGGGGTCTACTTCTCTGCTGATAACAAAGGATCTTCTGTATGCACACGAATCAGTTATCATTCACTGGGCAAGACCGGTCACGTAGCCTTAGTATGCGTTTTGGCAAGTCGCCTGATTGGATCAATCCTGAGTTCAGCATTTGACTTTGGGGGGAGGGCCAGTAAGAGTGACTTTCAGCGGCGGGAACTTCACCAAACAAGCATGCAAGATGTATTATTCACCTCTTGCAGACATGCTTTGAACAAAGATATCGTTAGCCCGACAAAGATAATCCTCTCATTAACTTAGACTCAAGGGGACAAGCTTTGTGCGTTGCTAGGTATTAAAGAATGGCTTCTCACTTTCCTGACCCGATTGCCATTCCATCAATTCCTAAGTTAGAACTCGTTCTCCCAGACGCATATTAATTTTCCCAAAATTTCCCTTGAAGTCTCTCTCAATATTTCTCGTAATTATCCCACGCCACTCAGACCATGGCTTAACCGCCGGGCTGCACAGACAGCTATACAACTTCATCCAACGCACCACAACGACGAGGACGTTTCACCCTTGTGCAGCCACCAAAGTCTCTCAGAGAATGGACAGAACGGAGGGGCGAGGCGGTGCTTCATGATAAAAAGTCTAGACGGTTCGCTTGATCGTCTGGGTCATTGAAAGAATCGCCATAGGGCATGTCTGAAGAGAATGCTGAGCTTGGATATTAGCATTTATTGATACTCTATTGGTAAGTCGAGAAACACGTCTCAGGGAGTACGATTACTTATAGCTATTCAGAGAGCAGTGCGGAAGATGGTCATGCTGGGCGGATGGGGTGAAGATCACACTGGCCTCCAACCAGCATCGCCTTGATTTCATGGATGTTGAACAATACGAAGGACCGAAAACACGATGTACGACCAAACAATGGGTTGCAGTATTACAGATTATCAATTTTGGAGTGGTATAATGATAAATACAACGCTTTCCCAACCATTCCCGTTAAACCAGTATTCCAATCTGTCCCTGTCCCTCGTTTCCAAATCATGATTTCCCTAAAACATAAACCCATGAATCCTCATCGTACAGAACGTAAAGAAAATTGCGCTGATGAAAAGAAAAATCATAGCCAGCGCCGAAACAACCCTTGATCGTCCATCACACTGCTTCTGCGTAATCAATCCACCCTCCTCCAAAGAGGCGAGCTTTCTCTCTAACCCAGCCTGATACTCAATCTCTTCATCCCTCTGCGCATAAACATACGACACAACACTCTCATCAGTGAAATGATCAGAAGGCTTAGCATCCCTATCCAGCACAAAAATCTCTTCCTCCAAAAACTTTTTGACACCCTCCTTCCAAGGCGTCTTCTTGATAAACAGATTGATCATCTCCGTACAGCCCATGATAGCATTCCTCGCGCCGATCATCTCATTGAACGTCGTAACATCCCTCGGCGCAGGGTCTTGTTCACCGTCTTTATCATCGTAGTGAGAATGGCGATCGCCGTCTTGGTCGTTGTACGTGTGGAAGCAAAGAATAGAGCCCCAGTCGCCGTAGGTGTCGGGCTTGAAGCGGATGTAGCCCGCGGTGTCGCGCTCAATCAGATCGGAGGGGTTACGCAGACGGCGCTGCGTGTGGCCTAAAGCGTAGGAGTCGGAGATCATATGAAGACAAATACCGAAAGCGCGTTTGCGGATGTCGGCGTCTTTGTATTTTGGTGTTGTGGCGAGGATTAGATCGCGGAGGGTGTTGGATTTCGAGGGGACGGTGTCTTTGGTGAAGAACCCGGGTATAACATCGTCGAGAGTGTCGTCTTCGGAAATACCTTGATCACCGCATGCAAGCTTATACATGACCTCCATCCACGTAAGAATATTCTTGCGCGTCTTCTGCGGTTTCTCTCCCATCACTGAACCCATGCCGTGAAAGAACTGAAGATCTCCCATGTGCGATCGTTTGGTCATGCATTTCTCATCGCCAAATTTGAAGGCATTTAGCCACTCGACGCCTAAGCCGAACATGCGATTGTCTTCGGTGACGTCCTCGAAGAGTAGACAGGATGGATCGTCGTTCCAGACTACGCCGCGAAAGTATTCCCATTGTTTGTCGTTGATGTTGTTGTAGACTGTTCCGCGGGGGAATGTCATGTCGGACTCGATAAAGGCTGCCACGACGATGCTTTCGTGAACGGGGAATTTTATATCCATTTTCGTGGGGAACGAGACGCCGACGCCGATGTCGTAGTTTGCTCGGATGTCATCGTTCTTGGTGACCATAGACTTTTTCGAATCCATGCGAATCGTTACATTCGCTAATCTGTCAGCGCACTCTCGGCAACAAAGGCTCTGCACATACCAGTCAAAGGACTCCCCCGCTCTTGGACATCCGTAACATCAATCTCAAAGACCCTCGAGCAATCCTTCACCTTGACGTGGTTCTTGGAAAGCGGCATAGCAGGACACTCAAACTCGAGCGTAAAATTCCTCCAACCCTGTCCATATCTCGCTTCGTACGTGACCCATGCTTTTGAACCTCCCCAGCTCGGTTGGGCGAGGTAGATGGTCTGTTGAGTGCCTGCTTCGATCACATTGAGGGGCTGACGTAATGGCCAGTCTCCGCTCTCGAGGCCGGAGTCTTCGAGGAGGAGATCCTCTGAGGATTCGTTGTTTATTCGGACGTGGCAGGAAAAGTCCATCGAAATATCTCTGCAGTTGATGTAAGGGTACTGTGGTGAGGTGAGAGGAGGTGGAATGGGAGTGAGAGCGTTTGGTGATGGAGGCACAATTGAGTGACGATTGTGTAGGCGAACTTGAGATCGTGATGCAAACCTTGGCGATCGACGATGACGTCGTTCTTTTTAGACGCGTCTGACGTGAAAGCCTGTAGCGGGGCATTTACTCCTAGCGAATCAGAGTGACTCGGAGTGACGCGGGGCACAGGTCGATGCCTCAGCCCTGAAGATCTACGGCACCTTAAGCATCGGTATCGTTCAATATCAACTCACTGCAAAAGGGTTATCTTTCAGCAAAACCTCTTTGTCCAATTTATGCACAACTTATTTTCATATCAAATCAGGGGCAAAAATAGAGAAATACTGTTCTATATTCTGAGCTTCAGGCCGCACCATGGCTTCTGTGACGATTGCTTTGCCTGTATTTTAAGGTCGGTGCAGGGTAACGACAGCAAACAAAGATCCCTGCGCTCAGTCAGCGCGGCGCAAGATTAATCCGGGCATCTCCCCAGCGTGACGCTGTCCTCTGAGTCAACTTGACTTGGGAGACGTACGCATTCGTCAACCATGGCAGCTCATCAGCAACAGGCTCACAAGACGAGTATCACAATGCGACAACACCACTTCCCAAGCCCAGGCTTAATGCCATCGAATCAGCCACCGGCGCGCGACCGGTTGAAACGCCCTCCGCATATCATACACGACGAGGCCTGAATGATCGAGCGATGCCCGAGACACTCCTCTACAACCTAACCCGCGTCCGACCAATAACGTTTGCTCCACTTCCCGTTGCTGCTTCTCACCTGGGCATCTTGCGCCATCAGGCGAATCGCCCGCCGGCCCTTAGCATTGCAGGATGGAGCTTTCAGCGCGGACGACTGTCGGACGGATCTGAACAAGCCAGTCGCTGACTGGTTGCTGCCAGTATGCGCAAATGCACCGACGGCAGCAGAGTCATAGGCGCGACAGGTTCCTTTTAACACCACTATGAGCTGTCCTACGACCCTGTCGTGGGGCCGGAGCTCAGTGCGGTCGGTATGAGCCAGCGTGCTATCGTACTAAGCAACATTGTAGATCAAGACATTTTACGATACGTGGAGCTAACATCCTCACCCATTGAAGCGTCTGGTCCCGACCTTGATCGCGCTCCTTATTACTACCATTGCCATAACCCCTTCGGCCGAATGCACTTGCGACCGCCCTCCTCCAACACCGAATCCATGAGATGCACCAATAACACCAGCTCACACGCTTGGGATGAGAGCGCAGCGCTGTCTGCCAACTCTCTCATGCTTTGGTTGAGCTATGCCGCCAATCTGCACCCAACTGTCACAGTCATTCAACAGACGAGAGCTTTCGCACTCACGGGTTTAGTCTTGCTGTAGTAGCTTCAGTCAGGCATTCGAACCGTGACTATACCATCCTTGAACACTCCCCCGATTGACTGATATCCGTGACTACCTTGTTACCACCTGCTACATCATGTTCTTAATTCATCTCCAACCTTCCCTAACACCAGGTCTATCTCATAATACCCAAGTTCGACTGTCTCTTCAATCGTGACAGAATCCCCACAATCGACCCTCGCCGTTCCACTCTGGTCCACCAAAAAGTATAGCGCCTCTTTCACTTATCGAGAAGGGCAAAAAACATACAACAGCGGGGATTCGCTGGTCGTCACCGACCCAACTACTAATCCGCCGGTTAGTGGCTTGACTATGGGAGAGCGGACGGGATCCCGTATTTTCCACTACCTTTGGTCGTATGTGCTAGATGATAGAAACATTGGCGACTATGTAGATGCATTGTAGGCGCTGTTTAATAATCCGTGATGATGTGAAGGCTACGGTATCGGTCCGTGGGACAGCTCGCTCAATCGTACCAAGACTCTCACCAAGATGGAGTGATCGCAACTTAACGAATTGATAGATCATAAGGTTTTCGGTTGTCTCTCTTAGTAACCATCCATTCCACGCATTATCCCATGCATGGCTAGTCCAGACTATTAGACGATGCCCGTCTGCTGGAGGGGAATAATATAGCGACTACGAGGCTACTACTGAACTACATTCCCCATCCAGGCAAGGCGGTGTGTACCGCATACCGGGACCAGTATCGGTTGCTGAATGGTTGAGTGACGGAGCTCGCGAATGCAGCAATGAGATCAAGGCGATTGCCCATTAGATAATTGCGCAAGAAAACATCATGTCAAAATAAACTCAGCAAAAGGTATCCTAAGCTCAGCTAAAGATATCCTAAATTTATACTAAGTTGCCTAAGTTTTAACATCGATCAAGTTTCTCCCCCAATCTAGTTGCTACAATCCGCCCAACTTCCTTCAACGACGGTGCCCCAATCATCTCCAGCACACTAACCTGTAATCTAAATACTTGACCAAACCAGCGCCGCAGTTCAATCGCGGTAAGTGAGTCAATCCCCATCTCGGATAGTTTGAGGTTAGGATCAACAGGTGCATCTGGCCTGAGAAGAAACTCGTTGACCTTTTTCCCGATCTCCATGGATACAAAGTCAATAGACTCTTCTTTTGCTAGTGTTGCAATGGCCTCTCCCTCACTGACGCCCTGGAGGAAGATCTTGAGTAGACTACCCTCGCCTTGCCTTTGAGATACAGCTCCAGTTGGAAGGTTGTGATATGCGCCCATTCGCCGATCACGGCGCCAATTGGTAGGATTCTTGGGGTCGTCGAGGTGAAGATCAGATCTCAAGCCCACAACAATATGCCCATTGTTCTTCCATGGCGACAGCTCACCTGACAAGAGATCTTCGAAACCATCGCTGGTAGAGATCCGGCCGCTTGGTGTCGAGATAAACAGTGAAGCCTCTACATTTTCGAGGAACTCCCTTTCTCTCACGAAGTGGAGGCCCTGGAGTTTAATGCTGCGAAGTGCTGACGGATTCTCTGCCACGTATCCGATGTCTTCGACACCACATATTGAGAGTACAGATGCGGGAAGACCGAGAGAGTGTCTGTATTGGCTGACAAGAGAAGCACGGAATGCGATCCAGAGGTTTCATGGTTGGCCGAGGGTGAAACTTCATCCATCTTCGGAGAATATGACTCGAGGATGACCTGGGTCCTTGAAAGTCAAACTCGTAGGAAGTGCGATTGGCCATCATGATATCTGTGCCTCCAGTGGTAGCGTATACTCCTCCCTGGAGGGACTCCTTGGTGTTCATGATCAACCAATCGTCTCCGAAAGTACCGATGTAGCAGCCGATCTGCTTTCCACGGAAACTAGTCTCTCCTGCATCATCAAGACATTCTTAACTAGACGGCAAGGCCTGCACTAGATGGCGTCTGATTCGGCGAGTTTCTACTCCGCCCAGTGCTGTCCGTCCTGCAGTGGAACATTATATGGCCAGTGCTGATGATGTTCAAGGAGTACAGGTTATGCTAGTGAGCAGCCACTAAGATCTAAGGTCAGTGTAGACCAATAAACGCTAGTACCTAGGGCACTTCTCCCGAGTCTTGTTGAACAACATGAAATCGAGCGACATTAGGTCTAGAGCATGCAGCCATGGGGCATCGTGTCTCTTTTCTATTGGACTTGGGGTTGGCTAATCTTGAGGCATCGCACAAGACTCTTACAACAGGTTTCTATGAAACGCTCTCGTTATCGTACACGTTCATCCCCAAGCTCAGCTTGCTGAACGGCAATCGAGTTGGTGCATTGTGTTATCGTGCCTGTTTATGAATGCATAAAGACACAGCAGCTATACCGCCCGAGACACTCTCTTCCCATTCGAAGACGAGACATGTTTCTGTAGCAGGTGGAGAGCGTGCGCGTATTCTTTCAGGGCATGTGATTATACAGAGTAGGTGATACAGCTCATACATGTCGATTGTTGAGATAACAGCCCGTCACTCACTAGCCTCTGTCCGCAATTGCACCTCCGCCACGCGGTTTGGAGGCCCTAAACACAAACATCATAGCGACAACACTCGTCTCAACCTCCTCGAACCCAGCCTCCAAGGCCTCGACCAGTACATTCGGATCATCCTCCCAATTGTCAAATCCACCTCGTCTGTTGCAGTACCCAAGCAAATAAGCGGCAGCTCTCCCAAGTGGTTCCTCACTCTTCACCCTGTATCCCTCCCCAGTCTTCTCCCACTGCTTCCCCAGCACCGTGCAACCAGTTAGAACACCGTCGTTGGTCAGGAGACCTTTGATATTGGCGATGGCGTTTGCTTTGCTGGCTGTTGGCTGCGACAAGTGATGTAGGACGAGGAAGAGAGAAGCGGACGTGAACTTTTGGCCTTGAAGAGACTCTGGCAATGGCAGTACGGCATCAGCCTGAACACAGTCAACCTGTGCTTCTGGGTACTTTGATAGAACACGTCGTCTTGCTGTTGCAAGAGCATGCTGGCTCAAGTCTACCAACGTCAGTTGCTGTTCTTTCGGGTCGCGGCTGGTGTCCTTGATCGCTCGTATGGGGAAATAACCGGTTCCAACGCCAATATCAACATGTCTCGTTGAGAAGTTGTTAGAGAAGAGAGGACGAAGATTGTTCTTGGAAGAACAGCGCCAGATCAGCGGGACGGAGATGCGATGGATTAGAATGTCGTAAAAGGGCAGGAAGAATGGTGTGCACCATGACACAGCTGAACTTGCAGTACGCTGGATAACTGGCATTGTAGCTAACGATGGGATGGATCTATAGGATGTTGTACGGTGTCTGTGAAATGCGGCCTGTCTGAAATACTTGGGCTGGTAAACTTTCATTCTTCCAAGTGAGATGATCGTACGAGCTTTGACTTCCGGAGAAGACTAGCCTCGTCATATTCCAGGCCGAGACATGAACACTGCAGATTTCGAATCCTGCGCTTCCTGTCGTGGCTTGGACAGAGATCGTCGAGGCGGTCTGGGCATCCCGGATCATCTGGATTACACGACATGCCTCTAGAGCAAGAGATCGGAATCGCGGAAGCAGTGTGACAAGCCCCATGGTCACATGCATCGCTATAAGAGTGCTGAGTGCAAAGAGATACCCAAGATCCTCACGGCGGCAGGTTTTGCACAAAGTTGGATGGGTTGGACAACAGAAGAGGATGTGCTATACGAGCGCCGACGAGAGGGAAACACAAACACGTCTTGTCGTCGGGTTGGACAGTATATTGTGGCTTTCGGTGTTGAGAGACCTGGTGCATCTAGCTTTTGGGCATAAATGCATTGCTGTGTGTCCTGCTGCTCGATTGACTCTGGGCCCAAGCCGGCATACAACGTGAGACATATGGCCTCTTCTCTTATCATTAAATTTTGCCGGTAAAAGCATTCTGGCCGTTGATCATTCCGCCATCTTCACTTTGGTCAGATACTGGGAGAGCCACATCCCGGGCTTCGTAATATGTATCCACCGCGCTGATCATAATTACCATCCGATAGATTAGATTGCGCAGCATCCTTTTCGCACCAATGCGTGTGTTTGAGGCTGAGAGAAGGATATATCCGGATTAATTCCAAGGCTCGTCTCCCTTTGCCGCTCATCAATGGAGTATACGCGTATTAATTTCGGCATCAAGAGGAACTGCATCGACCTTACTGTAAGCTGCGCGACCGACAAATGCCTTGGGCAACTGTCGCAAAGAGCAGTAGTAGTCTTCAGTGAAAATCGTCTCAGCTCCTGCACACTTGGTCCACGACTCATTCAAGTCAGTGATATAAAGCATCGAGAGTCATGAGCTGATTTCTTCTTCTTAAGTGAAACCAATAGCCTTATTTGACCCAGGTTTCATCGTATTTCGCTCCCAGGATAAGCATAACCCTATCCCGTGGTGCGTAAACAAATGCCCGTGCTGGCGAACCTCCTACTGGCCCACTGTTGTAAGCAGGATGCGCCTCCGCCTTCACCAACCTCAATCCTTACTGAAAAGATTCATGGCGAAGTGTAAAAAACAGCCATGAAATGCGGCTCAAGTCGATTGTTCTAGTAAAATATAGCTCAATATTCTCAGACAGTCTTACAATTGGATCATCGTCACTTCTGTCAAGACTTGGCATCAAGCTAAAGAAGCTTGATCCCTCCGTTTCAACTCACATCATTGAAACACGCTCCCCACAAAAGACTAACCCTTTAATCCCAAGCTCAACCATGTCACCAAGTTTCACATTCCCAAAATACTGCCGACGTTCCACGGAATAAAACAGCGACGCCAAAAGTCCGCCAATAATGACCTCCACCTACTCTTGGCGTCGTCGGGATGCTAACAGCTAGGTCGCGATACGGCCTGTCTCAAGTTTCAAGTTGACAAAACAGGTCCATTTCTTTCTGGAAGATTTCTTGGAGGACATATTCTCCGCCGCTTACGGTAACACCTGCGAGAGAAGGAGCTGGCTGAGATAAATACACCAATGCCTTCCCACTAACTCACCTCTCTATTCCATTTTCTGCTCTTCATTCGTTCGTTTCTTGTTTTATCTTTTCCACATTCTTTTGTTTCTCTTCACCATGAAGTCTCTCTCTCTTCTCTCCGTGGCCGTCGCCGCGCTGGTCTCCAACGTTTCCGCCGCCGGCGTAACCGGCACCCCCGAGGGATTCGCCTCCGAAGTCACAGGCGGCGGTAGTGCCGAGGGAGCGTACCCCAAGTCAACCGATGAGCTGGTCTCTATGCTTGGCGACTCTACCACGCGCGTCATCCTGCTCGACCAGGAGTTCGACTTCACCGGTACCGAGGGCACTGCGTCCGAGCAGGGCTGTGCGCCCTGGGGTACGGGCTCGGGCTGCCAGACGGCTATCAACAAGGATGATTGGTGTAACAACTATCAGCCTGATGCCCCCAAGGTCGATGTTAGCTACGATAAGGCGGGCTTGAACCCGATCATCGTCAATTCGGATAAGTCGATTGTTGGTGTTGGTGCGAATGGTGTTATCAAGGGCAAGGGTCTTTACATCAAGGGAACCAAGAATATTATTATTCAGAACATCCATATTACTGAACTGAACCCTCAGTATGTTTGGGGCGGAGACGCCATTACCCTTGATGGAGCTGATCTTGTTTGGATTGATCACGTCACAACCTCCAACATCGGCCGACAGCACATCGTCCTTGGCACCAACGCTGATAACCGAGTCTCTATCACCAACAACCACATCAACGGCGAGAGCCAGTGGTCTGCTACTTGTGACGGACACCAGTACTGGTCCATGTACTTCACCGGTTCCAGCGACGTAAGTCCCAAGCCCTAGCCATCCCTGATCTTCCCATTTATACTGACAATCACCAGATGATCACCATGAAGAACAACTACATCACCAAGACCTCCGGCCGCGCCCCCAAGGTCGCCGGAAATACCGTCCTCCACGCCGTCAACAACTACTGGTCCGACAACTCCGGCCACGCCTTCGAGACCAGCGACCAAGCCAAGATTCTCGCCGAGGGCAACCTCTTCCAGGACGTCAAGGCCGCTATCGAGGAGGGATCTACCGGTGCCATCTTTGCCAGCCCTGATGCCTCCGCCAACGCTGCTTGCTCCAGCGGTGTTGGCCACGTCTGCGAGGTTAACCAGTATGACAACTCTGGTTCTCTGTCAGGCACCGATTCTAGCTTCTTCAGCTCTTTCGGTGGAAAGGGTGCCGAGGCTAAGCCTGTTTCTTCCGTCACTGGCCTTGCTGCTAGTGCTGGTTTCGGAACCATCTAAGTGACAGTGGCTTTGACGAGGTATTGATGACCTCTGGAATCACTGGGGAATAGTGGGGACATTACTTTCGAAGCATATAATCTTGAACTTTCGGGCTTATATTGGCCGGAGTATATAGAAACATGAGTTAATATAGAGACTTCAGTTTCAACACGTTTAAGCTCAACAGTGATCCCTAAGACCATGGTATAAATGCTACCCAGTCTCGTGGCGAGGCCGTAGAAACAGAATATTGCGCATTTTGGAAAGCCAGGCTTCAACACATTCCTACATAAAGACTGGTGAATAGTAAGAAGAAGTTTTAATGTCAATTTCGAGTTCTGATTCTGGCTATCACTATCCAAACAACGACCGCAAGTTATTCTCCTCCATGACATCAATCCAATGCACACTCACAGCACCCGTCTTCTCCTTATCATACTCATTCCAAATCGTCTGCACCAACGTCTTCGCCACAACAATCGGTCTCGGCGGCAGCAGCGCCTCCAACGCATCAAGCCTCCGAACTATAAAACATCTCGCCTCAACAATCTTCATCCGCGACTCCGTAGCAGTAGAAGTAGACAGTCGCTCAATATCTTCGTCTGCTTGGATGAGCTGTCCGATGTAATCTGATAACCCACAATGCTCAGTGCTTCCGAGGTCAAAAGGTGTCGGTGTCGCAAGAGGGCCTTGTGTTTCGGGGCTGGAGGTTGTATTGGAGGGTTCGAAGCGTAGACCGGTGCTGGCGGTGATGCAGAGCAGGGGTTGAGTCATCTTACTACCTGAGTCTGCGGGGAGTTGTTCGATGAGTTTTGTGAGACGGAGACTTAGTGGTGTGATGCATTCTTCCCATGGGATGTGAGCATCTGCTGGACCGGAGAGATTATCAGGTAACCTCAGAAGCACCAGCTCTGGAAAAGTTTGGTAGATATGGATAAGGCCAGCGAGGCGATACGCTTCAGCGACATTGACTAGGTGACGACATGGTGTTTTCTGGTCTCCCGTCTCGGTATTCGCAGGCGCCGACTCAAAGTCCAAACCTAGAAGCTTTTCTTCCAACGTTTTGGCTTCTTCAATCATATTTAGCGCAGTAGCGTGATCGCGTGTCGCAAAAGGTCCAGGGTGTTTGACGTGATATCTGTAATTACGACAGAGTCTCAACGTCTGCGTCAGAAGTCGTGATACTGTATTCGAAACACCCGTCCAAGGATGCGGCATGTCGTCGACGACTGGTTCGGTTGGTACAGCTGTTGGATATTCGTCGGCGCTGATATCCTCGACTTCTTCAGCCTCGTATGTTATATATGGATTCGTATCTGAGACGACGGAGAGTAGTAGCTCGCAGTACGTCCAGCTTTTGTTGAAGATGTTTAGTAACTTCCGCTCTTCCTCCGACAGGCGCCGTTTTTGTTTGTTTATCCGGTGAAGAAGAGCTTTTGCTTCTCTGAGAAACGGTATGCCTAATTGGGTTGCGTTCAGCCAACATATGCTAGTGCCTATACAGAACAACCCGTAAATTAGACCCATAGGCACGGTGTCCAGATTCGGTGATGCTTTGACAACGCGCAGTTCCGCCTCGATGACATCAGTAGCATTCTTCATCATGGTGATAGAAGTCTTTTTCATATGCGGCATCTTGGATGAGAGATACGCTGATGACATGCTCTGCAAACTGGTCGATACAGCTTCCGAAGTTGACCATAAAGTTGTTGCTAGCATGCGATTCGAGTTTGTCGGTGAGTCATACTGCGACCACAAAGAGCAGATATCGCGAAACCAGTATTCAACGAGTTGAGTTGGGAGATCTGTTATTGGTGGAGGAACGAATAATGTCGAGAAATTCTGATGAACTGGGAATAGAGCGAGGTCGGTGCTCGTATCAGAAAAGCTATCAAATGTCGGTGTTGTTAGATCCAGCGCGTCATGCGTCCATTCAAACTCTGGCATCGGAAGACCTTCGACGGGAAGATCGAGGGGCAATTGAGATATGAAGTCATCTGTTGGACTCATTTCAGATTCGACGAGCTGAGCATCGTGCTGGGTCTCCAAAGGCTGTGTGTTCAACATAAATTCGCCAAAAACTCCTTGATTCGCATCGTTGGAGCTATAGACTGAACCAGCGGTGGTGAAGGATGCAGTAGATGTAGTGTCTAGTTGTCGTTTTGGCGGTCTACCTCGGCGCTTCTTGGTACCGCAGGTTTGCTTTGGTGATGTTCGGAATTTGTGGTCGGCGAGTTCCGCTGGTTTTTCATGCTTGGTAGACCATCTCAAACCGCGTTGATACCCTCCACACTGAACGCCTCGCGATATACAAACCTGGCATTCTGGCTTTGCTTCATCGCATTTCAGCTATTCCTTATCAGTCGCGCTCATCCGCCGTCCGGAAATCGACTTACGTGTTTGGTCCGGCATGTCAAGCATCCGGATCTCGATCTGACGGGGAGCTTCCGTTTGGCGGTGGACCTGGCGCTTGATTCTGGCTCCTCCATGGTGAGTTTATACAGGGTGTGAGCAAGTTTATGGGGTTGTTTGAGATGAGAAAAAACGTGCTCAGGCGATTGATGATAAGAATTGAAGTGAAAGTGAACTGGGCTTCCCCGCAGAAGTTAAGAGGGCACGGTGATAAGATTGGTTTAGCGGGAGCCGCGGAATTGGTAAGCTAAATTGTGATTTGTTGGAGACGGCTTTACAACTCCGCATGGCCGAGAGGTTACGTCGTATTGAAGACGGTTTAGGTGTTGGTAGGGCTCGGTAGTTGATCACTGACACTACAGTATAAGATCTTGAGTTGTCACAGTCGGATTGAGTCACTGTTGAGATGACATGGCTCCGGTACAGTTCCGAGGAGGGCAAAGCTGTGGATAACATTGTGTTAGTCAGTGGCGATAAGCAGATTCGCTAGGCCTTGCGGAGCGATCCGCTGAGAGGGCTGGAATTTGATAAACCAATGAAAGACAGTGCACTTCCGCTAACCCCAACTCGACAGCTTTCGGCACAAGATGCATATGCTGCCGATTACAGGAGATGGCTGATTGGGAGCAATTTCATCACAAAGATTCATTCAAGTCATTAAATGGAAGCTATATAAAGCCCGTTATGATACTGTACATCACTACGTTGAGCTCTCGACCTTCTTTTCTTCCCTCGCCAACTCATCCGTGGCTTCGGCAATGTCAGGTCTTTCTCCAAGAATCACATCCAGATCCTGTCACAATGATCAGCTATACTCCCAGAAAGCATGAAATGAAACTTACCGGACCCTGGAATGTCTTCCTTCCGTACAAGACCCAGTATCCTGTCAGGAAAATGGCAAAGATGCCAATGACAGCCGAAACGTAATCTGAACCCGTCGTCAGCTCATGATCGAGAGAACAAGGGGGAAGAGGGGGATGTACTCATCAAGCTAGCGTCGACTGGTAGAACGGGCGGGAAACAGAAGAACTAGAAAAGTGTTAGCTTGGCAGTGTTGATGGAGAGGATGACCTACAATTGATGTGATGAAGACGTAAAGAACGGCAACGTAATTGATGATCAGGCCTCGAACCTTTCCAAACCTCCAAGGCGTATCTGCACTCTGGAACCTCGTCAAAGTATCTCTCCCTCGAATTATAAGTGTCGCAACCGGAATGGCATAGGACATGTTCAACAGGATCGTACAGCTCGAAATAAACGCATTGAACGCAACCGTCGGTCCGAGGTACAACAACCCGAAGATCGCATTAAACACCCAGGTAAGAACAATAGTTCTAATAGGCACTTCCCATCTAGGATGGATGTGGCTGAAGTACTCGTGATACAGAGTGCCTTTATCACGAGCCATCGCGTATAGGAGTCGAGAGGCGCTGGTAATCGAGCCGTTGGTCCCATGGATGAAGCAGATTGCTAGCATGAGCGTGAGGAACGTGGTGCCCGCACGGCTGACAGTTGCTTGGAGGATCAGTTCGACGATAGGCATGCCGGTCGATGTTGCGACGATTCCGGAGAGGTCGGTGAGGCAGAAGAGCATGACGAGGATGAAGATTGTACCACTGCCGCTCCGTTAGCTTACAGTTATTTGAGTCGGTGTTTGACTTACGTAGTTCCCCCCACGCCAACAGCGTATACCATCGCCAAAGGCGCATCCCGTGACGGCGTCGGCATCTCCTCCGTCATGTGAAGCACAGCATCGTATCCGATAAGTGACAGCGCAGACTGCAAAAGACCCAAGATCCACGCAATCCCGTCGTTCCAGCCTGTTTCATTCGCAAATGTCGCAAAGACGAATTCGGGGTCGGTTTTGTCCGATGTCGATAGAAGGACGACGCTGGCGACGAAAACACTGAGAATGGACCAGTACACTACAAAGTCAGTTGGAACTCGCAGAGAGGGGATTCGGCATGCTCACGGGCGAGATTGTTCCAGGCACCCAGGATTCGGTTGCCGAAGGTCATGGAGAGAGTCCCGAATGTGAGGACGGCCATGAAGATTAGGTATGTCTTCCACGCTGCTACGACGTAGTTTCCGTTGGATGCTACGACGCATGCTGCCGAGATGAATTGTGCTACAAATGTCAATTTTCGTAGTCTTGGCCATGCAGAATCACAAACCTGCGAAGAAACCCTCAGTCGTCACGAGGGTCAGCCATCCAAAAATATTGATGTAACCAACCGCAAAACTCTGCTCTCGTCAACACTCTCCCAGAAATCGCACATCACCAAACTCACCATGACCTTCCTCCACTTCTCAGAAGTCAATGCCCACTGGAAATGATATTGCCCACCAGCAGTCGGCCAAATCGCCGCCAACTCACCCAAACTAGCCGCCAGCGCGAAATTACACAACACACAGAAGATAAAGCCATACAAGAATGCAACAGATCCACCAGAAGGAAGAACGATAGATAGACTTCCTGCTAGACAGATCCAAGTACTGGACTTCACATCAGAACGAGGTTTGGGCAGAGAAGTTGGGAGAGACACACTTGAGAATGGCAAAGGTCATGGCTACCATGGTGATCTTCGATAGGCGAGGCCGAAGATGGCCTTCGCCTTGGACATTATGTGTATGTTCTGTCATTGCGATGTTCTGATGAGAGCTATTCACTTGAACATGGCGATCCTGGAGAATGAAGAGCGAGGTGCTCGCCTTGTATATGCCACGAGGCCCAGCTCGTCGGCAAACCTAAAGTTTGCGGGGAAACGCCCCCTTCGCATAACAAAGCTAACGGTTAAACACACGAAGCATCGCTAGGTACTGTATATTGGAAGTAGTATGACGCGGATCTAACGACTTGATAGGTAGAGTTCCGAGGAAGCTACAGGCACATCATCGATACAGCCCCAATGTCAACTCAAAACGTAATACCCCAGATTCTCTTGCGCCCGCAAGCAAGGTGTTCCAGACCCGGCACGATCTCAAATCTTAGTATAGTCCATGAGGCGTTCACAAATTCGGTGATGAAGAAGGAATATCAGACTAAAATTACCGCTTTGAGGTTAGTTTTTTTGGTCGAGCCCCCGCAGTACAGAGTTCCAGCCGTGTGAGTATTGGAAGTCCTGATACTGTGATTCGTGCGATTTGTCACCTATGGGTTTTGATTGGGGGCTTGCTTTTGTCGGAGCGATGTTTGTGGTGGTCGGGGAAGATCGATCGTGGATATCTGAAATGGGCAATTTCTGCCATGATCTGCAAGCAGGTGATGATTTACCTGGTAATAGTTGTCTAGATGAGACACATTCGGTGCTAGAGGATCGGTATCCGGCTTGGTATCTGGGTTATATCCTTGGCTGGATCGTAAATGTCATCGTGGGTGATAAAATCCGGGGTAATGTGGATGTCTCGGTGTTTGCTATGATACGGATAGACAAATACTTGCATATCTCAGGCCCAGAGTTCGTATACTCAATGATTTGCTTGTTTCATCCTCTCGCTGCATCCAATACTGCGCGCTGTATCCCCATATCTCGTCTTATATTCCTTAACGACTACTCCTCGTTTAACAAATATACATTAACTTTCATACCTCTGACACCTCTTGAGATTTGTATCAATATGCTTGAAGGCTTAGTGGTATCGTTACGTATGCCCCATGTTGGAAGAATGGGGGGCCCGTTTTTGCTAACGACTAGTCACCAAAACCTCATGCCCACTTCTGATATCTTCCCCGGGAGCTCTACCAGTATATCCCTTGCGCTAGTAAAATCTTCGGTTAGCAAGCAAGACATGCTATTCAGCTGTCGTCTTAGCTTTGAACCATCCTGGCTGCTCTTATCATCACTATGCTTTGCGTATGAATAACCCCATGCTTCAGATTCTAGACTATACGGATCCTGTAAGTCCCTTCATGCTCAACATACTCTTCACAGGGTATATCTTGTCTACTCCGTGGTCCTCTGTCTGTCAGTGTTCTATGTTCACTGTCAACAGTGTAACACTCGTCGACAAGCCCACATCGCTCAAAGGCACCATGTTCTCCAATCACAGGTCGAAGAACTAAATAGGTATCGGAAACGTAGTCCTTCCCCGAAGGTGAGGAGTGTATCTTACGGGGTTGGATGGTCTCTGTGCCAAGGAGCAGTACGTAGTACAGGCCAAACTGGAGGCCGCTGACATCAAATCCGCGGAACGTAACATAACGCCTATAACTCTCTGTTACATCGTCCTCTCTGCGCAGAACCGGGCGCGACTCGTGATCAATGATTTGTACACGGCCCATATTGCCTTTGATCAGGATATGACCGCGAGTGACTGGTCCTGTGGGATCACTGCTGCCACGAGTGGTCGAGATGTCGATAATCTCTGACTGGGGAGTAAATATGGCAGGCGCATTTGACCAAAATATGCCGCCATCGATTGATGCCCATGAACAACTCGGGGCTCTGTATTGCGGCCTTGGATACTTCGTATTGTATGTGTACCACGCGAGCTGGCGATGAATGTCGCTGTTGTTCCAAATCCCAGCCAGGTATCCAGGATTTCCGAGATGCGACTGTAGCCATTTCGCGATACCGGACAAGGCGGGCAATCGATCATTCGACTTTGTCATATCGCGAGAGGTATAGTGGGTAACGAGGCCTGACCAAAGCTGAAACGGGTCTGGACGAATACCACTTGTATTTACTTTCATATCTCGGCTCAACAGATGTTTTGCGCTGTCAAGGTCCTCTGCAAACTTCGCTTTTCCGTCGTGTCTGATGGCATTAGGAAGCCCATCAGGAAACACCTCACAAGCGCAAAGATGATCGCACTCCCAGAAGACCTGGCTTTTGGCGAAGTGGATTGTTCTTTTCGACATCAGCCACTCTTGATAAACCCATGCACGCTGGGTGATTGTCAGAATCTGATCGAAAGTACGCTGTTACAAAATTAGGGGAATCGCTCACCGTCTGTAGAGGGGAGCGGTTGACTTCCTTCAGGAATAGGTCTTGGTCAGCAAAGATGTCAATGACGTCTCCTCGCACGCTCTTCACGACACATTGGCCGTGCAATCCATGGCGTCTGAAGAACAATCCTCCACTGCTGTCTCGTGACGCTGCCGCGGCAAGGTTGCAATCTGCCTCGGTATACACTCTGTGCATCAGAGCTGCTTCTCTAGCCCAATCTTCCTGATCATTTTGCACGATGCATAGACTATCTATCCAGAGATAACGATATCCTAAGTTTCTCGTTGCAACGACGGCGTCTTGAAATGTTTGCGGTAGATTATAGACGCCGCTATACAGACTTTGCAGATTTTCTTTCGTGGCGCAGATCAGTTGCTTCTTCCCCCAGCAGTGGCTGAGCGTTAGGGAAGGGCTTTTTGGTAAGCTGAAAGCTGTCTCAATGAGCCGTGGCGTGCTTGTTGATTCGGGGTGTCCCAAATCGAGTAGTCGAGTTGGGTACCATAGTCCTGCGACACCAGTCCGTAGACCGCGATCTAGGTGTTTTTGCTTGCATTGACTGATCCAATGTTTCATCAGACCCCAAGCAGTACGCGAGTCGCTCGAAGGACTGTCTCGCAACGACACAGGGCTCGCAATGGAGCCATGGTCAAGATCCAGCTGCACAAGAACCAAGTTGGTTGATTCTCGGAACGGGCCTTCCGAACCTTTCGTTGCAGCATTGAATTCTAAACAGATCCCGACACTTGGAGACTCATGAGAAATAGCGAGCTTTATCCATATCAGGAAAGAATCGAGAGACTCTTCCAAAGGCCAGGCTATGTTCTTCCGAGTTTCGAGATCAAGCTTCTCAAGGTGAGCAGCGACTCCAGGTGGAAGCGCGTCGTGTAGCAATGTACAGACATTGCAGCCTTGTTCAACCGCCTGTATCCAGTCTCGTTGAGTAAGGTGGTGGCTCTTTGAACTGGGGAGGGAGGGATCACGCTTATTAGCGGCCGTCCAGGAAAAGGACTCTCTACATACGTCACACAGGTTCATCTTCAGATGTAGATGAGTTTCAGTGTGATGAAGCAGTGTGTTTCCCAACGTATATAGCTTATTGAAATGAATATTTAATTACAAGAAACTTGTGTCCCTTGGCGTAAGCGTTACATCTGTGATTGACACGTGGTGCCATTAGATTTATGCACTCTAATGGAGAAAACAAATCTAAGACGCATGCTAGACTTTTTATGTAACGAAATGCATGTCTCTGCTAAGCACTAGGACAAAGCGGTTTTGAAAGAGACGAGCGACATAGTTATTATTAAGTCTTGAGTTATTTAGTTTTCTTACTTCTTTCTGTTGCAGTTCATGATTATAATTTTGTGCCACGGAAGCCAGTAATCCACAGCAAGTTCTTCAGAACTTGACCGGTCTGGTGGTCTAGTGGTATGATTCTCGCTTAGGGAAAACCCTACAGCATTGCTTGCGAGAGGTCCCGGGTTCAATCCCCGGCCAGACCCTTTCTTTTGCTCTGCGCACGTCCTCGCGATGTTTGCTTTTTGCTTTAATGTTGTGGAGACGTGTTTTTCTTCTTCTCCAAGGTGGTGGGGTTGGTGGGCCACCTCGGATGGAATTGTTACCCTGCACTCACTCACGGAATGAACTTATTCCATGCTTCTCCTAAGACCTCTGACTATATATGTATTATGATACTCGAGCATCGAATTTTAATATCTTTTCTATCTGATTGGTTTTGTCGCATTTGCGACGTTATTGCTGAACGGCTCCTGTTGAAACGTCCTTCTGTGTCATCGTGACACCGTGATCCCAGACGCTGGATTTGGATGCCATAAGAGAATCAGGAATGAAACAGAACAAGTCTATTGAGTGTCACATATTCAGGAAAGGTGGAGCCCGTGATAGTCTTACAGATGTTGGTTGATCATACACAAATTCGTTGAAACCAGACTTCAAGCGACGTCATTCGCTGAACAAAAGTTATGAAGGGTCCAAGGGACCACGATGGTGCCTGACTCTAGACGGTCATCACTCCCTTGTGATTTGCTGATCTGCCAGGACCACCAGGAACTGACGCACTGATTCCCGAGACGAAATTGTCCGGATCTGTCGAAGGACCCTCTCAGTCTTGATTGCTGGGGCTTTAGGCATGATCAGCAAGCCACAGTATCTCTTCGCGGTAACTTCATACCAGCCCCAAACTGTAAACCTTTAAACCCATAGCAGATATTCATGCAAGAACGCAATTCACGTCAGTGGCTCTGAATAAATCGTTGGTTCAACGACGATGCTATGTCATCTCATGATATGATGGTTGATTGATCAGAAGATCGACAATATGCGATAACTTCAACTGTCGCATGAGGCAAATCCCAACTTTATTCTGAGTTTTCAGGCCATAAGGAATTTTATAAATGTCTGCGACTCGCCTTCGTATTGGACCAGGATCTTCATACCACGCAGAACAAAATTGTCTACTATATCGTCGAAAATTCCATCATGAAAATCTTCTTCATCGCCGCTGCAGCTCTCGTGAGCACCGCTTTTGCTGCACCGGCTTCAGGCACAGCCCTCGTCAAGAAATCATCTCATCATATAGACACTATTCCCTACAATGGCCTTCCCAGTGTCAAAGTCGACCTCGATGCTCTTCGCGCTGAGCAGAAAGCAGGACAAACCGCCACCACGAATGTAAAAGTCAAGCGGTCCCCCAAAGCTACACCCAAGAAAAAGACATCGAAGAAGACTTCTACCAAGAAGACCAAATCTGGAAAGAAGCCCAAGACGACTCATTCAAAGAGATTGCTCAAGTCTTCGTCGACCGGCTTCAAGAACGGTCAGGACCTTGTTGATTCCTTGGATAGTCTTGTTGCTCAGATCACCGCCCGAGGCGACAGAATCAGTATGTGTCCTTCTGTTCATAAGCACAATATGTACTGACACTATCAGATGGAACACTCCTCAGAGTTCAAGCCGGAACAGAGACTCGCAACAAAGGCACCACAGACGCCATCAAAGAAATCATCCAAATCCGCGCTGCCGTCTCTGGCGCCCTAACTAGACTCTCCACGACCAAGAACCTCAAACTCACCAGCGATCAACGCGCCGACATTCTCAATCTCGTTGAAGAACTCGTCAAAGAGCTCCTCGACATCATCAACGACCTCGTTGAGACGCTCGGTCTGAAGCTCAGCCTGAAAGCATCTCTCAACCCCCTCATGAACATGCTGAGCGACTTCCTAGGGGGTCTAGCAGTGACCGATGGCAAGCTTACGCCAGAATTGCGTCAGCGCTTGGGGGATTTGATTAGAGCTCAGATCAACGGTGATGATACGCGGGGATTCGATGTGCTTGGAAGTGGGATTGAGAATCCGCTTTTGCGTCTTCATGGGTCTTTGAAGACCAGTGTAGGATCGAACTAGTATGGCAGGGATATTGTCACTCGTTTAAGTGCTGGGATATTGATAGTGAGAGTTTGACTTTCTATGGCGTTGGGTGTTGGTTCTGTTATCATACCGCTCCTTTAGCGATTGTTTATAGTTGTAGCTATACCAGGATCCTATACTAGCTTCCCAATGTTAACATCATATCACTACACGCGGCTCTACACTTCGGACACCATTCCCAATCCTTCAGTAGCTTGCGTTCGGTTATAACTAGTCAAGTCCTCTATTCCCGCTTCTTCAATCGGAGCCAAGCCGTACGCACGAGCCCAGCCTCTTCGTAACACAGCCAACAGGCGGTGAAGCACTTCACCCACGGATATACGGGAGTCCGATGATTGGTGTATCACATCTTATCCGTTTAGAGCATACTATACATATTCTGCGGAGTACATATAGCTCTTCATGATTACCCCAGAAATATGTCAGCAATGTCCAGGGGTTGCTATGGACATGGATTTATTGATAAGTGTTCCATTTTCGGGATGTGATCGTCGTATCAGACGATAACCTTCACCCGGCTCGGGGCATTCACGTACGCGAAAGTCTGAGGGTATTTGAATTCAGGGAGGATGAATACGCTTTTCCGGATGAACTTTGTTGATATGACGAGTGATGCGACTGGTTTGTTGGTTCGAACTACGGTTGGAGGTGAAACGGTGAGCCGGTGATGTTTACTCGCGATGTGACGTTGCATGCGTTTATTTTCTGGTCGGGTTGGGCATGAAGTTGCACTGATACTCGTTTAGTTCTGACACCTTTGGGAGGTCCCGAAGATTTGGAATCATCCATCCTTGTCAAGGTGACACTCAAGGAATTCACTCAAAAAAGACCGAGGCAAGTGTCAGAAAAAAGAAATCGTATACGCTGTTATTGAAAGACAATGCAATGCTAGCTATGAACAATTCAAACCACCTCTAAGTCTTGCAGTCAAAAACATACTCCGCATATCGAGAATATCTTCCCAACGTAGCATGGTGAAACAGATTCCCAGTCAAACAATCAAATAGCGCAATGACATAAGTACGCTGTTTGTCGTTCAACGCAGGATCACGCATGAACTTCTCTGACTCGGCGTAGTACTTCTTCTCGACGTCGAAGCTCATAGTTCTAGTGATAGTCTTTGCCAAATGCGGCGGCACACACATGAGTTTTTCAATGACGTGTACTGCATTGACGACAGAGCCGTTGATGGTGCGCGCCTCGTACATCTCTTTATCGTAGGAGTAGAGATCGTTTATAAGGATGGAGTGCTGCACGTAGAGGTCCTCAAGCTCGGCAAAGGGAGCCGTTTCCTCGGGCGTCTGGCGAACACCGCTTCCAAATCGAATAGCAGCGATCATGAAACTGAACGTGGTTAGTATATACTGATGAGAATTTGGGGAGGGAACTCACGGCTTAGCGATATCGTGGCGGCGGTAGTCCAAGTACTCGGCTAACGTTGCGTATTTATCTTGCTTGAACGGTGACTTCTTACGACCTGCATTGACAAACAGACCGATGGCTCGAAGGAGACCAGGCCCAAGAACGGGATCGCATTCTAGGACCTCTGCGAAGTATCGCTTCATGTGTTTGTTCTTGGGTATCATGGTTACGAAATCATCACAAACTGTTGTATCCTAAGAGGGTGTCAGTTCCGTCAGAGCATATTGTCTCTTCAGCTTACATCTTGTGTTGCACCCCGCTCCATAACATCTAGATACGTGTTAGCGAGATCAACGTGGAGTAGGATGTAAACATACCATCGTGGAAAAACAGAAGCAAAAGAGCCTGAGTTAGCAGCTCTATTCGCGTTGGCGACGATGATGGGTATAGGTAAACAGCGCATGAAACCGCATCTTCAACGAGCTCGTCAATCTTCCCCTTTCGGCGCTCATCCATGAACTCCACAGGTAGAGCTCCCCTCTCAGACGCTTTGTCGGCACTGATCCGATTCACCAAGTCCCGTCCAGCTGCTTCACCCTGTACCCACCACTTGGACTGCCTTGTCCATGGGAGAGAAGTATGCCATGGCACGTTCAGCTGCTCAGGATATAGCGTCAGAGGAGCATCTTCAGGGACATTTCGCTGTCTAAACAGAGAAGCAAAGTCAAGGTCTGGCGGCCCAAGAGTGTCTGGACCAACGGGGTCAAAAGCACGGACCAGAGGTCTAATGGGCAAGTCTTTGTGAGGCATTGTGTATGTGTATGTGAATATGAAGAAAAGGGAGCTTGGATAACGGATCTACCCAGAACTTCCCGCGAGGAATTGCGCCACCGTAGGATTTATGTTCTTTTTCTCGATTACCGCGGCGGTGAACGGACCATGAACTGACGACGGCAGCATCGGTTCGGGACGACTCCATAACGGCTACAACGGGCCAGGGGCTCTAACAAGTGAAGCCTGCAAGTTTGTGATAAACCACCCAGCAGCTCTACCCCCAGGGTGTTTGTCTTTTTGGCTGATATCGTTTTCCTGCTTGCTAGCTCGGCACGTGATGACCCGTTGCTTGGTGTGATTCGATGGCAATGCCGGCATGCGCATGGGTGATGTGATAAGACCTGGCGGTTTTCTGGTGACAAGACGTACGCGTGGAGTCATGCAGAGTAGCATTCACCATACTTGACTTGCAGTAAGAGCTAGCAAGCGAGACTGCAATCATACCATGGCCCACGGTCTTGAATGACATGTGCTGAAGACCCCTGGACCAACGACACGGGTCGTATACCCACTTCGGGCGCAGTCAACGTGGTTACGAAAATACTACCCTGCTCCAGCCAAAAGTAACCCAAGGATCCGGCTAAGTGGATGACAAAATGTAGATCAGGATCCCCTGAAACGGTTGCAGTGATTGCCTCGACTGATAATAACTCGTCCACTGTCAGGTCAAGCGGAGCAAAAGCTACTGACATGCCTAATTCCCGCAAAAGTCATGGGTGCCATGCATCCCAACGTCGTAGCACTACAACACTAAAGCACATTGAGTGCTAGAGCCAACAGCTCGGGTACGCTCATGATGGTTTTTCTTATTTGCCTGCCTAGAACAGACTTTCGGCGCCCCCCCACCTGTTGGTTGCTGTAGAACAAAATCCCTGAGAACTTTGACAAGGGGGAATTGACACGTAATGGGGCTAGAGAAATTTAGTTTCAACGGTCGCATCATTTACCCCGGCATTGCTCGACCGTTGGATGTGACGGTTGACGGGGCATGGACCATGATAGACGGAGGAAACGACCCGATGTCAAATGTGAATCCTTGGGTGTCATCCGAGGTACGTGCGAGTTTTATGCAGGAGGTTGCATAAAACAGTAATATCGGCAAAAAAATGGGGTTTGTCTGTCACAATTGCATGTTGGGATCAGGACTTTATACTATTACTCAATTCATGCTAGACTACCTCTGCCAATATCTAGACCTAGGTTACTTATCTCAATGGACATCCTTCTCAGGAGACTATCCCAGACATATACCAGATCCCATAGCTCCTCATGTAGTCTACCACCATCTTGTACCAGTCGAGAGAACATTCTTGAAGGAGCATTACCATGCTGCAACTCCAAAGCCCAAGGCAAATCCTGTACCGCGAACAAAAACAATCGTCTCAACAAGAAAACATTTTCGAGGGAGCGTTATCGTGCGACAACCTCAGACAAAAAACAGTCCCAATATTGCAAGACATCTAGTTGCAAGACATCTAGTTGCCAGGCTTGAAGAAAGCGGGCATGTCGTCGTCAGATTCCTCGCCGACTTTCCCCCAGAAGACAGCGGAAGAAAGGATGCGGTCGTTGTAAGCAGTAAGACGTTTCTCATTGTCAAAGACGGGACCGTTGAACTTGGTCTTCTGCAAGGTCTCGAATTTGGGGAGCTGATAGACGTTGGCCTTGGCGCCAAAAGACTCCTTTGAGGAAACAGAGTGCTCATCTTCAGATGAGTCGTTGGACTCGTTGACAACATCCAACTCGTCAATGCCCTCCAACCAGTTCACAACCGAGTCATTGAGAGCGGCCACAGCTCGACGTTGGATTCCCTCCCCAGTCCAGTAGTCGTCAATGATGCAAGCTTGAAGTTCATTGACCATTTCGTCAGTTGCCTCGACAGTGACTCGGACGTCAGACTTGACTTTGACGTTAGACTTGGGCTGAAGGGCGGCCTTGATGGTGTCCTTCTGGGCATCCAAGTCGATCCAGACATCATTGTCATCGAGATGATCAGAGGCTCGATCATCTTCCTCGGCCATGTCAGAAAGGGCCTCGACAAGGTTGATACGACCGGGAATACCGTAGTCCTTGAGGTGGACACCGCCGGGACCGAGCTCGCGGTTGCGAACCACGGTCTTCTTGCCGGTCAAGAACGAGAACATGATGAGGGAGGTGAGAGTTGTTGATAGTAAGTGTTTTCGTTGGTAAGGGGTGTCGTTGAGAATAAGAGTCGGAGTGCCGTGTGTTGAGTTGATCGAGAGTGAGATGGTGATGAGAGGCGTCTGCGGTGGTAAGACTTGCTGTTGATGGAAAGAGTGGAAGTATGGTGATGAAAGTTGATGAAGGGGGAGGAATTACTCTTGTGTAAGTTGATAGAAGTGAGATGGAGATGAGAGGCAAAGTGCTCTGATGTAAGTTGAGGAAGGTGAAGAGATGAAATTAGAAGTGTTGTGATGTAAGTTGATGAAGAATGAGATGAGATATTAAAGGAATATCTCAGCTCAAGAGTCTTGCCGGGTTTGTAGAAAGTAGAGTTTCAAAACTCCCGGGCTGGAGAGAACGAATTCTCTTAGTCGGGAGATTCTCCTCCTGATCTGGCAGTGTAACACATCAAGACAAGTGAACACTATCTAGCACTGCCAGATCGGTGCCAATTTAGTCAATGTAGTCGCTGCTCGAGGGAGCTGCCTGGAAGGGAAGTCCATTAACTTGAGGGATGTAAGTGCTTCGACCAATGTGAGCGTTTGCCAGGGCCCAAAGAGGTAGTGATACAGTGGCATGCGTTGGTGGATCTGGAGAACATTGCCAGGAACACATGGCGAACGTCATAGGCTTCAACTTGCAGTGGCGCAAGTAGTACGGACACGTTTTGTTCGCGGACCAGACGCGTCTGTAAGTGTAGGTACGTCCTGAAAGTGGAACAGCAGCGGATAGCCTTGCAGATATGACTTTATAGACAAGGAACTTGATAACATAGAGTCTTAAGAGCTGGATGCCAGGGAAGACTCTGGAGTTGTGAGTAGTTTACAGTTGAAAGATATAGATCAGCTTCAGGGTATAATATTGCCCCAAAGAACGTAAATATAGCTGACAGTCACATTCCAGAAGTCTTAGAACAGGATCTCAATGTTTGTATTCGCCTGCATGTCGATTTCACAAGCAAAAAGTGACAACCTCCTATACTGCTAATTCCCCATCCCCCCTCACAGAACTTTCTTCTGGTCCTCCAAGCGATACTGCTCAATCATCGATTCGGGGACCCTGACTCTTCCCCGCGGCGCAATCTTCATACCATGCTCATCCCGCATCATCGCCCAAGTAATGCCCCGTCCACCCTCCGCCTGGATCTCATAAACCGCATTGATCCGATACGCAAAGTCATAGCCCTCGTAATCAGCGTCCTTCTCATTGTACTCCTTGTTTCCCAGCCCATCTTCAGGCAGTGGCGCGTCGCCGGAGTTTCTCGTGACGGCTTCGTTGACGGGGCAGATGTGAGTTATGGCGGAGTAAGGGGCAGTGCGGTAGAACCAGATGCGCTTGATACCGGCCATTTTGTACTTGCGGAACTCATAGGTCTTGGTGCCGTCGATGATTTGTCGCATGTAGGGGTCGTTCATGGCGAGGATCATGTCGCTGCGCTGGGGGGCTTTGCTGGGAGAGGACATGGTTGCGGTGGGTTGGTGTTGATGAGGCGAGGAAGCGCTGAGCCGAAGGCGATGCTTATTTATGAGGTGAGCCTAAAGTTAGATTAGACTTAGAGAGTGTGTTGTCTGAGGTCAGGTGACAGCGAGAAGTTCGATTGGATGGCACTGTCAGCAGCCGGCAGAACACATCGGTTTACCAGCGACGGCAGCATTGATGAGAGATTGGCTATAGTAGGTCACAAAATACATACCTTAGCTGTTTCAGCAGGGGCTGTCGTTATGGATGAAGAGCGTCTAGAAGAATGGGGAGTGCTTTATTGATAAGAAGGGCCTTCCAAGCTCACGTTTCTGAGCTCAGAGTGTAAAGTGTGAACAAAGTATATCTCTCTTTGTACACAAAACTGAACTCAAGATGTTCCAATGTTCTGACGATTAGAGTTACTGAACAGTAGCGGAGCTGATTTTAAGTCAAAAATGTGCTCTGAACAAAGAAAATGATGTAAATAAATCTCATCTCCTGAACACTATGATGTGCTAATGCACATCACCTGTACATGACCAGCTATAACCCCAGTGACGCTAAACTCCGAAATATCAACCAGTAAGACCCTCACGTCTCGCTCGAGTAGCAGCCATAATCATATCCCACGCAGCATTATCCTTCTCCAACGTCCCCTTCTCCGGCGCAAACCCCTCCTCATCACAGTCATACCGCGAATTCTTCTCCAACCATGGCGAAGGCCCAAGACCACAATTATACTCAATGTACTGCATCCGACTCGTTCTCTGATTATCTATACCCGTGCCATATCTATGCTTCTCAGAAACCCAGGTGTTCTCCCTGTCCCAGTACTCTTCGTCCGTAGGGGCAGGACAGGCAAAGTCTCGGTGCTGGTTTCGTGTGAGGCGATGGTCCATAGCTTGCAAATCGATGTCCTTGTAATCGGGGTCTTGCAAAATCGCCTGGCGAGTGTCCTTAGGACAATCCCACCAGCATCCATGGCCAACTCGGAGTGTCTTCAGCCCCTTCATCGAATCCCTCCATTGGGAGAGGATTTGATGCCATCGGATCGGAAAGTCGCGCTTGATAGGGTTCCATCCTCGTCCTGTACCACCTTGCGCTGTATGGGCTGTATGATCGGCATACCCGTCGTTTCCGATACGAAGCTGGCGAGCATGATACAGAATCGGACAGTCATCAAGATACAGTTCTACCAACCCCCCGTTGCCATTCTCTTTGCCGAGCTTCGCAAACCACTCGATCTGCCACTCATGAGTGAAGACGTAGTTCCCAAGCGCAAGAACCTTGAGTTGAGGGAATGGTGAGTCTTCCCCGATGTTTCGGAAATCCATAATCGGAAACCAGCCCCAATAGTCTTTGAAGTACAAGGACAGTACACGCAAATGATCCGTGATGTTAGGTGAGAGCCATGTATTGTGTAGGTTGCCAAAGAAATCGTACTTTTCAACATAGTGAATCGTGCTCTCAGGTGAAGCATCGCACTCTTCTGTTGTGACGAAAAGCCTCAAGTCGACGAGACTTGGTAGAGAGATTATCCTCTTCCAAGCTTCAGAGACATTGAGATTGGGGTCATCATAATCCGCAAGATGCGTGATCGTCAGCTCCTTCAGAGGGAACGGCTTATCGTGAGTAAATTCAAGATCCTGATCACTGTAGTCCAGTTTCTCATCGTCCTCAAAATAGAGATACCCCTCCATCACCTCATCGATCTTGATCTGCTTCTCCAGCGTCCACAAACCCGCAGCGCAGTGAAGAATAGTATCAAGGACTCGGTACCGAAACTCAAATGTTTCTTCAATACTTTGATAGTAGCGATCATCTTCGCCACAGTGCTCTTCAAAGCGAATATGAAGCGCCGTAATATTAGTGAAGAAGCGTAAGTGGGGGAGTGCATTCATGAAGGCTATTGGGAAGTTGAACGAATCGTTGCAGAGATACTCAAAGTCGAACTCAATACGTGTATCAATTGTGATCTCTCGAACTAAGCTGCGTAGTTCGGGGATCTTGGCGATCTGGATAAATCGCTCGACTGATGAAGGCGCGAATGCTTCGAGTCGCAAGCTTCTGTATTTCCATGGTCGCGCGATGTCATTGAGTCTGTGAGACGTAAGACGAAGGTTTGAGAGGGTCGGCGGTGTGAGGAAGGAACAGATGTTGTCCCATATCTCAGTGACGAGTCTTGAGTCGTCGGAAGTCATGATGAAGGAGGTAAGATGAGAAGAGATTGCTGAAGTTGAGTTGAAGCTTTTTTGAAGTCGTCGGACAAGCGCCTTATAAGTTTCTGCTCAGCACTAGAGCAACCCCTGTAAATGGGGCTGGTGCCTAGATCTGGTAGGCAGTCGGCGCGCTAGACCCGCTGGAAGAGGAGCTCCATGCGTAGAAATCTCCCGACCTTGAGCTACAAGTGCCAAAGACTGGTCTGAAGACAGGCTAAAATTATGCTAAACTTGCCTAAATCATACAATCTAAGTTATACTGAACTCGCCTAAATCCATTCCATTTTTGATAGTGGTTCTAATATTTCTTAATGCTTTTCGCGGTCCAGCGGTCTATTTAGTGCTTACAACAGAGTTATCAATTACCGGCTCTCCATCACAACCGTGCACACTCGCCGTCTCACCTGCGAACACTACGGCTCATCAGCATGAACACATAAAATCACCAGAAATTTCGTGATCAGTAGTGAAATCGCTCCCAGAGCGGTGTATGAATGGAGATACTGCAATTATATAATACAAGTCACTAACCCTTTGTCTACCAACACCTCGCTCAGAGTGTAATACCATAAAGACCCTCGCCCTGTATAACCTCACCATTCTCATACGTCACCCTCTTCCATCCTTCCACATGCGTCTCATCACGAAGCCACTCAACAGTAGGCCAGTAGCGTTCATCCTTCTTGATTGTCACGACGGAGGGAGTTCCGGTGTAGTTCATCATCTTGATCTTGAAGTCTGTACTCTCGTTAGTTTTGCTTTCACATGAATGAGAGGGCGCAAAGAAGACTGCTATCTTCACTCACATGTTTTGTCAGGGATGCTTGCAATGATCCCCACGAGCGATTCCAGATCTGGTGTAGGCTTGTTGTCGATATGTGTGATGAAAGTCGTTGCGTAGACGTTGTATAGGTTCGCCGGCGATCCTATGAACCAACTTGTGATGTATACTTCGCTCGGCAACTTCTTGATGCTTTGTCTCACGGTGCGATGTGGTTTCTGCGCCGTCAAGCCGCAGAAGTTAACAACGCGAGAAGTCTCGAACTCATCCTCAGAAACAGTCTGCGCTTTGAAGCTGATCTGTTCGCCATTTCGTACAGCGACAACGTCGAGGCTTTCTTTCCAGTACATGACATCTACATCATGGAGCTGTGTGATGAGCTTGTCATCGAGCGTGAGTAGGACGTCACCTTCGCCGAGTTGACCAGGAAGTTGCTTCGGGCCGCGTTTTACCATGAAGAGTCGTCGGTCAGAGGAGGACTTGTTCTGGACCTTTTCTATCCACTCTTCCGCTACGCCCATGACCCGCGCTTCAATCATCGTCACCGCTTCGAGCTCGATGGAGAGACTGCGCAGGGATGGGACGATGCCTTGACTTAGCTTCTCGGCGATGGGCGCGATGGCTTGGGAACTCAGACCGAAACAGGCTTCGTCGAGATCTTCCATCTCGTAGACGACCCAAAGCGCCTGGACGACGCCGTCTTCACGGATGAGCACGCCGCTGCCGCAGTGATTTCCAATTCGAGTCTCCACATCAATACGATCAACGTTGACGGGACGGCCGCGGGGTGGATTTGGTGGTTCTCGCTCGAGGGGAATAACTTTTGTCACGGCTGTCGAGGCATACACCATCTCATCGCAATCATTATGACCAACGAAGAAAGTCGGTGCACCCTGTGAAATTTTCTCAGTGCTGAAGATAGCGCTTTTGACGGGCGCGTCGACGAGGCTTGGGTCGTATTGAATGATGGCGTAGTGGTGCGCAGGATGCAAGAATACTACCTTCCCAGGAACAAGGACAGAGTCGGCAAAGGTGAGTTCGATATCGCAGAGCTTTGTCGGCACTACAGTTCTCGATACGATGGCGTAGCCTCGATCAGCGTTGACGACGAGGCCCATTCCAAGTTTGATGCGTGCGGATTGCCCATCGATGAGGACGGGCGACGAGAATCTCACGTGGACAAAACTTCTTGCAATCTCTGCAATTTCGCGTTGCGCAATATGCTCCAGCGCATCAAAAGACGCACTCAACGGCGGCGGTCGTATCGCAGGCAGCGGCTCAGCGAGTACCTCAACATCCCATACACCTGTGGTATCATTCCTCTTAAACATCTTCATGCGCTGGAACCAATGCCGATCAATCGGCACAACAGCCGTCCGAACAGTCTGCGGTTCCCAAACATACCAGAATTTTATAGCCACGCGTGCTCTGTCGGGAATGTCCTTCATCACCTGCACAAAGGTATCGAGGTTCGGCGTCTTTTTGTGATTGACGCTATCGACCATGATGTAGTTATCATGCGTGGGGTGAAATGGGCCAGATTTACTGACGTACACGCCGCGGCAGGGGAGGAAGTATCGTTGGGCGACTTGGTATGATAGATCGTGGAAACAGGCTGCTCCGACGGTGACGAAGCGATCGGGTGTGATTTCGCAGAGGTCTTGGACGAGGATATCTTCTTCGACATCTTGGCCGTCTCTTTGGACGAGAATGCGCACGGTTTTGCCAATGTTGGAGTCGAAGATCTCATTGAGACGGAGGAATTGGGTGACGAGATCACCGTTGATCTTGAGTAGGATATCGCCCTCCTTCAATTTATCGTCTGAAGGACCCTCGGGTAAAACATCCATGGCGACGATGACGTTATCCTCACCAGGGAAGGATTTGCGCAAAACACTCTCCCACTCAGGACTCAACCCCAGCCGTCGGCACTCATCAAAGGGCTTCAACTTGAAAACGGTCTGAATCTCACCTCTTTTTACCTTCTCACCGCGTTGAATCT